GCGCGTGGGAGACTGCGGTCGAAGTGCAACTCATCCGACGCGCCGCCAGTTTTCGAACATTGGGGGAGGGGGGGAGGCGTTGACCGCTGAGTGTGGCGTGCGCGCTCGCTATATTTCTGTTCCCGAGGCCTGGAGGGGGCCGAAGTCTCCCGCTCCTTTGCCGCCGCCGCGCGGAGGAGGGACGGGCGGATGCGACGCTGGCGCGCCCAGGACTTGGCATCGTTTTTTCTCCCCGGCGAGGACCACGGAGGAGGCCCCCCATCCTGGATCACCCGGGCAAAAAAAAGCGCACGCCCGAACTCAATTGATTCACGCGGAAGTCGGGCCGGACGAAAGGGGGGGGGGGGGATAGGGAAAGCGGGGGTGCGAAATTTGCTGCATGTAGCTGGTTCCGGCCCCACCCAGGGGCCCATTCCTTGATATCTGGCCGCCTCCGGCGCCAGGAGGCGCCGGGAAAATCAGCTGCGTGAGCTGATGTTCACACACACCCTTTGCTATCCCCCCCTTTCGCCCGGCCTCAGGAAGGGACGTCCGAGCGATGGCAAGGGGAGCGCTCTGAGGCGAGGGCACACTCTGCGCCGACAGGGTGGAGGAGGCATGCGGAGGGTACGGGGGAGACGAGGGGCACGGAGGAGCACGAGGATGCCACCGCAGGCGCCCCAATGGCTCACCAAGCGGGCGGTGGGGACACCAGCCGCAAGCCTTGGCCATGGCCGTGGCGATAAGCCGCTGCACGTGCCTCGCTCCACGCGTCGACTGCTGCGGAATCGCCGTGGCGAGGACACGCACAACGCTGCATCCGAACAAAAAGCCAGCAAAACACCACGAGCGCTGATTTTGAGGCTGGGGGGAGGAGGGAGGTAGGAGGAGGAGGGGAGGCTGGGGGAGGAGGGAGGAGGAGGGAGGAGAGGGAGGAGGAGGAGGGAGGAGGAGGGGAGGAGGAGGAGGAGGAGGGGAGGAGGAGAGGAGGAAGATGGGAGGAGGAGTCTGCCAGATACAGTGCCCTGCGCCCTGCCAGAAGAACCCCTGCCTGGGTCTGGAGAGCCCTTGCTCGCATTATGTGGCGATTCGGCGGCAGGGAATCCCTCCTCCCCCTCCTCCTCCTCCTCCCCTCCTCTCCTCCTCCTCCTCCTCCCTCCTCCCTCCCCCTCCCTCCTCCTCCTCCTCCCTCTCTCTCCGCCTCCTCCTCTCCTCCTCCTCCTCCTCCTCCTCCTCCTCCTCCTCCTCTTCCTTCCCCTCCTCTTCTTCCTCCTTTTCCTCCTCCTCCTCCTCCTCCGACCTCCCTCCTCCCCAAATCGAGGCGGGGTCCCCGCCAGGATGTCCGGGGTCGGGGATCTGCCAGATGCCGTGTTGGCCAGAAGTTCAGGGTCCCGCGCAGGGAACCGCTATTTCTGCGTGGGGGGATGTGAAAGCATCGAGCGGGAGACATGGCGGTGTCAGCGGGGAGTGGGCGCCTGCGCGCAGGGACGGCGGTCCAAGGGAGCGGGAAGGGATGAGGTCCCAGAGAGACGTGGACAGGGGGTCTTGAGTGCAAGTTCTTGTGATCACTGGTGGTTTCGAGGACATGCGGGTGAGTGGGTGCGGTGTCGCGGGGACGGGTGTGTAGGTTGGGTTTGTGGGGGTGGGATTGCTCTGAAAGATTCGGGTGCAGGGTTGGAGGAAGCAGGGTACTTGCTCCCTGCATGGACCGTCCAGACGCCCGTAGCCATTCTGGCGCAGGCTGTGCGGCACGCCTGGCTCCCCGCCCGCGGGCCCGCAGGCCCCCCCGCCAGTGCTGTTCGCCTCGCCTCGATAAGTTGCGCTGGCATCGTATGTGCCTGGCTTGACATGGTTGACCATGTGGTGCCGTGCGACCCCGCCTGTTGGGCGGGCGGGTTGACACCGCAGCGGTGTTGCGACGCCACCTTGGATCCCAGAGGTGTGGCCGAGTGTTGGGACGCCGAGTTCACCTTCGAGCGTTGTTGTGGTTGCCAGTCAGCTCCGCCAGCGCCTTCTCTGCAGCCGCCGCTACCATCGCCGGTTGCCAGATCTGATTCGGGCACGTGCGACGACACATGCTGGTCTGGCGCGTTCACGTTCGACTTCTGCTGCGCGGCGACGGCCACTCGAACAGGCAGGGACGAGTGCTGGGATGCGGAGTTCACGTTCCAGCGCTGCTGCGGCTGCCGTGGAGGAGACGCTGGCGCCGCCGAGCGCGCCGAAGCCGACGCTGCGCAACTGCGTGAGGCCGCAGTGACCAGCAGGTCCGCCGCCGCTACAGCGGAGGGCTGTGACCCGGCCTGCTGGTCCGGCGAGTTCACGGCCGAGCGATGCTGCGACACCACGGCTGACGGGCCTGTTTTCCACCACTACCAGAAGTTGGAAGAGGGAAGGAAGTGGAGGAAACGGAGGAGGAGGAGGACAAAGAGGAGGAGGAGGAGGAGGACAGAGGAGGAGGAGGAGGAGGAGGAGGAGGAGGAGGAGGGGGGGGAGGAGGAGGGGGAGGAGGAGGAGGAGGAGGAGGAGGACCCCCTCCCCCTCCAACTTCTGGTGGTGGTGGTGGTGGAACACAGGCCCATCCACGGCTGCCGCACTGGGCCATCCAGACTGCTGGAGCGCCGAGTTCACTTTCGACCGCTGCTGTGCCTGCCGGGCTCCGTCTCCCGCGGCGGCGCCGGCGGCTCGGCCGGGCCGCTCCGCGGGCGGCCCCGGCGGCGGGCGGCCGTGCGATGCGGCGTGCTGGTCGTCGTCCGCCTCGGCGTCGTCGCCGGAGCTGTGCTGCAACGCGAGCGTCTCGCCCTGGGGCCACCCGGACTGCTGGGACTCGGGCCGGGCGAAAGGGGGGGATTGGGAAAGGGGGGGTTGCAGTAGGGGTCTTGAAGAAGGAGCCCTTTTCGTTGGGGAGGGGCTCCGTGTTCCTTGATTGTTTTGCAGCTTGCCTGAGGTTTTCCCAAGGTTTTCGATGGGGAATCGAAGTTTAACTTATGGAGAAAAAGGGGGCCTCGTTCCTTATTTAGGGTTCCTTAGGTCAACGCCCCTTCTGTACGAAATTTGCTGCATGCAGCCGGTTCCGGCCTCACCGAGGGGCCCATTCCTCGATATACATGGGCGCCTCCGGCGCCGGGAGGCGCCGGGAAAGTCAGCTGCGTGAGCTGATTCTCACCCTCCCCCCTTTGCTATCCCCCCCTTTTCGCCCGACCCGAGGGACGCGGAGTTCACCTTCCAGCGCTGCTGCGGCTGCCGCGAGGCGCTGCTGGAGGCGGCCGCCGCCCTCGCCGCGGCGCGCGGCGGCGGCCTGTCCTGCTGGAACTTCAGGGGGGGAAAAACACACAGACACAAGTAATCGTCGATCCCCAGAAAACATGGGAAAATATAGGAAGTTGGGGGTAAGACAAAAACCCAGAAAATATGGGAAAACATTGATATTCTCATTTGTGTGTATTTATATATGTGTGTGTGTGTCCTGGGGCCCCTTCAGGAACGAGGACGTGCACTCCAGCCCCTGCTGTGACCTGCGCCTCGGTCGCACAGGGGACGCCCGGTGTTGGGCCGGCGAGTACACTTACGATGCTTGCTGCAGGCTCCGGCACACACCATCCGACGGCGCTTCCGCGTGTGAGCTGGCCTTCCGTGCATGCCCGGCCTGCATCTCGTTGTTGGGCGTGCCGTGGTTCAGGCGCGACCACTGGCGCGACTGCCACCGAGCTGGCGGCTTGGTGTGGGTTAGCGAGTGCGGATTGGACGCCCCTGTTGCCATGTGTGTGCCGAAGGGTGCGAGTTGTTGGCCGATGTCCGGCGAGGGACAAGTGGAAAGTTTATTGGATGCATTGGAGCACCAGACTTACATCCCTCGTATCGACATCACGCATTGCACCCCGTCGTGGGACCCGTTGCACGGCCCAATATTGGTGGCTCTCGGGTTGCCTTTTGTCTTTATTTTGCTTGGCGGTAGCCGGCGGCTGGCAGACGTTTGCGCTTCACATTGGAAGCCTGGACGACATTGTGCCGTCGATGCCTTGCGCATCCTGGGTACGTTAACAGGCGTCGTCCGGCACCTGAATTTTCGGAGGTTTGCAGACGGGAACCCCAATGTCGGCAGTAAGGGTTTCTGTTACAGTGAAGCCATCAACGACGTCTCCGGCCGTTTCTTAGATACCTTCACCGTCGCCTCCGTGTTGTTGTTAGTCCGGTCACCTCCGCGAAGCGCTGCGGAGTGGTCAGACAAGTTATGGGCCAAGTTGGCGCGCCAGTGGCCTCTGATGGTGGTGCCGTGGGAGTTGCTTGGCACTGCTTGCACACACGCCAGTTCTTGTCTCGAACAATGGCCGTACGGCGAGGTAGTGAAGAGGCGAAGTTTTTGGCAGAGGTTACTCTTTGAGGACTGCATCTGGTACCTCAGGGTCGACCTCTGGACAAACATGGCTTGCTCAGCGCTCTTGGTTCTGCACCACCGCACTGGATCGCGCTGCTTCTGGCTTGCTTGGGCAGTGCTGGCTGGAGCCTGCTTGAGGCAGGCCTCGCACAACACCCCTCGCCACTACAAGCTGTGGTCGTGCCGATTGCCGCTGGCGCTTTTAGTACTTGGCGTCACCCAGAGTCGCAGCGCAGTGCGCGCCTGGTGCCGCTTGCCCCGGTGTGCTGCTTGGGCCGCGATTGGCAGCCTCGTCGTCTTGGGCTGGGGATTTTGCTCACGGTCGTGGAGTCTCTTCAAGGACGAGTGCGCGACGACTCCGAAGCAAGGTTGGCTGTACTTATTGGAGGGCGCTTGCTTCCACGTCGGCCTCGCCGCAGCCTGCTTGCGCGGCGGCGGGGACGATGCAAAGGTCGGCAATCAGTCCATTGGGTGGTTGCTGAATTGGCTTGCGGGCTTGTCATTGGGCGTGGTGCTGGTCAACGGTGAGGATGCGCTGTACACCTCGATGGTAAACTGCGAGCGCGGCCAGGTCCCGCCGTGGGCCTTCCTCGAGAGGGACGGGTCATTCACGGAGTTCAACTCCGCCCAGCTGATGGAACGCCCGCGCTGGATCGGCTTTGTGCTCCGTGTCGCTTTGGGTGTCCTCATGCTGGTGGTCAGCCAGCTCGCCGTCTGGATCGTGCAGCGGCCGTGGGTCGCGCTGTTGCGGCAGCTGCCGCGAGCTCTGACCCGCGCCGTCGTGGCCGCTTTCCTCGCGGTGCAGCTCTGGCGGAATGGCCCAAGCCTCGGGCGGAGCGGCGGCGGCAGCGATGATGCTTGATGCGGCCGAGGCAGGCGGAACAGAGACACAGAGGACGATCGAGCCCGGCGGGACCGCCCTTTTCGGGGGAAGCTCTCTCGATACATATCTAAGCATTGAAGGCGTTGCGGCGCACCGCTTTGTTGCGCAGTGGTTTGGAAGTTGCTCCGCGCCGCGTGGCATTGCCTCGCAGGTCTCTGGACTGCTTGACGTGGCCTGGCTTGGCACTGCTCGTCAAACGTACGGCCCTGGGGGGGCAACTCTACCTCCGCCCGCCGCGGCCCCCGAACATCGACCCCCAGGAGTCGAACAATGAACAAGACGTAACCATAAACAATTTTGAACACCTGTACAATGATGAACAATGACCAACAGTGATTAATAATCATGAAATGATGATGATAAGCCATAAAATGATGATAAACAAACCATAACACCTGTACGATGATAATAGTGAAATGATGAACACTGATAATGAACATTGGACACCTGAACAATAATGATAAACCATAAACGATGAACAATGAACAACAAGTCGGGTCTGCCCCTCTGCAAGATCATTGTTGCACATGTTTGGAGTACTTTTCTGGGCATTCTCGCTTTCTCGCCCGAGCTCCGCCCGTAGGGGGACACGCCCGACCCAACCGTCAACCGTCGGAGCTCGGCGCGGATCTCCTGGAACGGCCCCGGACCCCCCCCCCCCCAGGGCGTGCGGCGCGCGCCCGGGGCGGCGCGCGGCGCCGCCGCCAGGGGGGCCGTCCGCGGATCCAAGAGATCCGCGCGGAGCTCCGCACGTGCACGTTTACGGTAGGTTCGCGTCGTGTCGACCGGCGGCGACCCCGCCGCCGACGTTCAAGGTTGAACGCCGACGGCGGCCCAGAATCGGTCGATGTTGAACGATTGGACGTTGCGGAGACGGCCGATCGTTCAAGGTTGAGCGATCCAGCGCGGTGTCAGGAACCAACGCCTGGGTCGACACGACACGAACCTGCCGTACGCAGTCTTGCGCTCCCCTGTTCCCAGGAGGGCCTGTCTCTGGGGCTCTGCCTCCCCTCGGCCTCGCCCTCGAGGCCCCGCCGCTTTCTCCTCCCCTCCCTCCGGGGGGTCTCGTGGGGCCTCTTGGGGGTCTCTTGGGGGCCTCCTGGGGGCCTCTGGGGGGGGCCTCTTGGGGCCATCCTGGGGCCATCCTGCGGCCTCTTGGGGCATCCTGGGGGCCCTCTTGCGGCCATCGTGGAGGAAATCGATCAAAGAAGAGGGGAGCTTTAATTAGCCCTGCCCCCTCAGAAGGCCAAAATGGGGCCAAAACCATAGTAAAATCAATGATTTTGGCTTCCTCGCCGAGGCCGTTTTGGACGCTCTGACCGCTCCCCGCCCCTCCTGTCAAGCTTCGCGCGGCCCGCTTAGCTTCGACCTGAAGAGGTGCGCTCTCGACCCGCGGATCGAAAAAGTGCTCCTCCGTCCCCAGGAGGGCGCCCCCGCCTCGCCTGCAGAGCGCGCGCGCATCGCAGCACTCTGGGGACCGGCAGACCTGGCATCCAGGACGGTCGAGCGCTACGGCAAGACCCTCCTACGTAGGACCACCGCACGACCCGAGCGCACGCCTCCATTGGAGATGCATGCCAAGAAACAGCCGGCTTGCCTCCAGCGTGCCCTGGTTTTTGGGGGTTTCGATGGTTCTGCTAAGGGAAGCGTGACGTTCCAACACCAAACATCCATTGACGTCCTGGTGTCTCATGTCTGGGTTTCTTGTGGAAGGTTCCTTGTGGACTGGCCTCCACTGCGCCTGGCATCCAGGACGGTCGAGTGCTATGGCAAGACCCTTCACGACCGCCGCACGACCCTAGCGCATATACCCATCCACGACCGACCACACATACTCAGGGTTTCTTGAAAAGCGTCGGGGGTACCCCCTCGACGAGGGTCAACCTCGTCTCGTCGTCGCGCCGCGACGGGGGTCGCAGCGCCTTGGGCGCGCGGTGGCTGCCCGAATGCGGGGGTCGATGTTGGGCTGCCGGCGGGGGTGACGCCCCCCCGACGTTTTTTTGAAAAACTCGGAGCATCCACGGCCGATCACACATGCCTGGTCTTAAGTCGTGCCTCTCCCTCTACGGGAGGAACATTCAAAGATAGGGGGAACAAAATAGCTTTGGGACCATGTTTCTAGCACTTTTGAGTGACTATTTGGGCGAGGGGTTGATTCATTTTTTGAATCTAGATTCTATACATATATATATATGTATATATATATATATACACGCATGCCTCTCTCTCTATATATATATATATATATATGTCTATACATATATATATATATATATGTATATATGTGTGTACAAATCTTTATCCACACACATATATATATATATATATATGTGTCTATACAAAATGCATATTTTTATATATGTATCTATCTGTCCCCCGACCTAACACATGGTCTGTGTGGGTTGGCAGGCGTTGCCTGCCCGCAGCCCGCGCCCGACGGGTACAGCCCGCACCGGCGCTGCCGCCCTCGCGGGCCTCGCCCTGTGCGTCCCGTCGCCGCCGCCGCCCGCCCCCCCGCGGGCGCTCCCCTGGGAGCCCGCCTCGCGGGGGGGCGAGATTTCGGGGCTCCCTCCTCCTCCTCCTCCTTCTCCTCCTCCTCTTCCTCCTCCTTCTCCTCCTCGTCCTCCTCTTCCTCCTCTTCCTCCTCCTCATCCTCCCCCTCCCCCTTCACCCCTCGCCCCCCCTCCCTCGCCCTCCTCCCCCCCTCCCCCTCCCCCCTCCTCGCCCTCCTCCTCCTCCTCCTCCTCTTCCTCCTCCTCCTCCTCCTCCTCCATCTCCTCCTCTCCCTCCCCCTCCACCTCCTCCTCCTCCTCCTCCCCCTCCTCCTCCTTCTCCTCCTCCTCCTCCGCCTCCTCCTCGGGTCCCCTACGGCCCTGGGGGAATCCGTGCGCCCCTGCGTCGGAGCTCAAGAGACGGGGGTCAATGCAAACGGGGTCAGCCAGGGCATTGGATCCTGCAGGATCCTGCGAAGACCCCCTCTGTCTGACCCGGGTTAGCGAGCCGCTCGTGGCGGCTGCGCACAGACTCGAAACAGAAACATCCACATAAACATATATTTGTGGCGTTCCGCGCGGAGTTCTCGGATCCGCGCTGTGCCCCCCTGGCGACGTCTCCGGCGCCGCCCCTGGCGCGCTCCGCGCGCCAGGGAGGGGGGTCCGGCGCGGATTTCTGAAATCCGCCCGGAGCGCCAAAAGTTTATCTTTATGTGGCTTTGTTCTTTATCTTCTTCTACAGACATACTGGATCGACGGCTCCCAGGAGAAACATGGGGAAATCTGGGAAGTGGGGGGGGACAGACGAAAGCCCAGCAGATATCGAAAACTATGGGGATGCCTGGGATTCGTGTCCATTTGTTTGTGTGTCCCTGGGCCCTCTTCATGAGAAGAGAGTCAAACATGGACCACCGCCACCGAGAACCCGTCGGTCGAGCAAAGCGATGGGTGCAGCGCCGCCCCAAGAACAGATTCTTGGACCTACGAAAAAGGCCATGTGCTCTTTTGTTCTTGGTACTCACGGGCGGCTAAACGCATCCGCACAGAACCCCTTCCTTACCTAGTTTGACGCCAGTGCACCTGCCCTGACGCCGCCTCTGCTTGCAACGGACTCGGCGCAGTACCCTAAAATGACGCCGCGTTTTCACCCGGCACCGACCCCGCCGGCACTCGCCCAAACATGGATTGGGTCGCGTGGAGTAGCGAAGGCTCCCGCTTCCACACAGAATCGGCGCGCTCCGCCATCAGCCCGGATGGCACTGGCACCATTTTTTGGGGGGGGCCTTCCACTTGACATCGCTCGGACGTGTGCGTTTTTCTTTCGGCGAGGGCCATCGAGGAGCATCCTTGATCATTTGGCGAAAAAGCCACGCACGAAACCGAGAAACAAAAACAGGGAATGGACGTCCGAACGATGGCCAGGGGGGGCCTTCCCCGATCCACTGATCTTGCGACTGCGTACCAGATCCACGTATCCCTATTCCATGTCAGCGTGCGCCCGACGCTGGCCGGGAGGATCGAGACGGGTACGGAAAGAGTGGGTACAAGAACGGCAGCAGTTTTTGTTCATTTTGAACAGGGCTCGCTGTCGGCGTCGCCGCGGACGTGGTTCATTTGAGGCAGAAGGCAGACAGCGGCCGCGATCGGTATTGGGCAACACCTGATGTTGGGCATCGTACCCATTTGTTCTGTACCCGTTTCAGGCGTCTCAACTTGGGAGGGACCGATTCTTGGACGGTGGCACGCCCGAGCGTCGTCTTGCACTGGCTTCCGCTGGGGCGTGCCACCACCCAGGGCTCGGTCCTCTCCCGAAGGGTTCTCGCCGAAGAGGAAAAGACGCCGTAAACACAAACTGTTGTATCTCCTTGCGGATTTCTTGGATCCGCGGGCGCCCCCAGCGCGCTCCGCGCGCCAGGGTTGGGGCGTGCCAGCGCAGCTCCAAGAAATCCGCCCGCGCAGCCAAAAGAAATCCCCGCCGTCCGCCCAATGTCGAAACGCCGAACAAGAAACACGCTCACTAGGCCGCTCTGTTCTTCTATCTCCGTGGCCTCAGCGGGGGCGGGGGGGGGGGGGCGAGCGGAGGCTTCCGACTCGGGTGTTGCCAGAAGTGCCCCTGGCCCAAGGTGCCCCCCGGCTTTCCGCTTCATCTTGGAGCCCCTGGGGCCCCCTGGGCCTCGTGAAGGGTGCTTTGGAGGCAGTTTGGGCTACAGCCAAGACACTGAAATAAGGAACATATTGGATTCGGAAGGGGCTCGATGTTCCTTACGTCCTTCCGTGGTTGTTCCTCTAACCCTTCTCGTGCACCCAGGCTGTTTTGACGCCACAGAGGTGTGGGCAAAACTTCTGTCTATACCCATTGCAGTATGGAGTTTCGGGCTCCCTTCCCAAGAAACCCGAGGCGCACTGGATATGGATACATTTGCCCCCCAGAGGCTCGATTTTGATCCATATCCAGTGCGCCTCGGCCTTGTGGCGCCGCTTCCAAGAAAGTCCAAAAGGCACTGGATATGGACATGATTCTTGTCCGCAAGAGGGACTTCGTTCCTCATCCAGCGTTCCTTCTTCCAGCAGCCCGACTGTGCCCCGAGAATCCCGGGGGTACCTTGGCCCAGGGGCATTTCTTTTGGCATCGCTCGGACGTGTGCATTATCCCTTCGGCGAGGACCATCGAGGAGCATCCTTGATCATTCCGCGAAAAAAACACGCACGAAACCGGAAACATCACAGGACATGGACGTCCGAGCGATGGCCAGTTCTAGCAGCGCCCGACCAACCGGCCGCGGAAGAGGAGCGGCAGGCTCGTGCTGCGGCGCCCCGCCGCGCCCTGCCGCGCTCGGGAGGAGGAGGAGGAGGAGGACGACGAGGAGGAGGACGAGGAGGAGGAGGAGAAGGAGGAGGAGGAGGAACTGGAACTGGAACTGGAACTGGTGAAAACGCGAAGCGTTACAATGAATTAAGCAGGATCGCGGCCTCTGGCAATCCGCTCCCTCTTGGAGAGGACTTTGGGCCAGAGGCCAGCACTGATCCTGGACAAGTATTGTTTGGTGGTGTCCGTGGGGTGCCCCTTGCAAGGCTCACGAATAGACCTGAGCTGAGCACTCGCTATATACCCACAAACACCACAGTACCACAGAGTCAAATCCGTGTGGTAAAACAGCGTGTGAGACTCGTGTATCCACCCCCCAGCACAATGTATCTGTTTTTGGGCAGGCACCTTCATCTGAGTTCCGTCGACGGGCTCCAAGTTAAAACACGGGGTTCGCAACCAGTCAACGAGAGCTTTGTGAGAGGCCGATCCTTTACAAACCTTGCATTGGCGCCCGCTGTCATCCAAGACATGGGCAGAACAACATTGAGCGACAACCTTAGGGGCAGGCGGAGGGCGATGATGCCTTTTTTGCCGTTCACTCAGCTGCCGAGGGTCGGCAGCGATTGCATCCATATGTGCTCGCAGGAGCCGTTGCCGCACCAGCGTGGCCCTGTGCTCGACCATGGCGATGCGTGTGCGGACCTCCTGCGAGATCCTGTGCGCCTTCGCCACGTCACCTGCTGCTTCGTCTGCCCGACGGTTGCCCTCGATCATCCATTCTGGAATGTGCTGCTCACTCGCTTCCTCATCTGATAGATGTGAATTTATAAACAGAACCACAACGTGTGCAGCTCTGCTGGTGTCATGCAGATGTTGACCAATCTTGGCCCAGATGTCGACGTCGCTCTCAGCAGCGTGTGGTCGCAGGAACCTCTTAGCCTCCCAACCGTCCGCTACAGCTTTGTTGTCGGTAATGTAGATCATCCAGCCTCTGGTCAAACAAATAGCCGCCTCTAGGGCAGCCAATTCACCACGTTGCACTGTCTGCCGTCGCCCTGGTAAAGCCATCTTGCCAGTAGCACCAGCTTGATGGAGGAGGAGGAGGAGGAGGAGGAGGAGGAGGAGGAGGAGGAGGAGGAGGAGGAGGAGAGGGAGGAGGGAGGAGGAGGAGGAGGAGGACGACGAAGGGGAGGAGCAGGAGGAGGAGGAGGAGGAGGAGGAGGAGGAGGAGGAGGGGAGGAGGAGGAGGAGAGGAGGAGAGGAGGAGGAGGAGGAGGAGGACGACGAAGGAGGAGGAGGAGGAGGAGGGGAGGAGGAGGAGGAGAGGGAGGAGGAGAGGAGGAGGAGGAGGAGGAGGACGAGGGGGGGAGGAGGAGGAGGAGGAGGAGGAGGAGGAGGGAGGAGGAGGAGGAGGAGGAGGAGGAGGTCGAGGAGCCCCCGCGGCGCGCCCGCCGCGCCCCGCCAACCCGCTCGGCGCTCGCTCGCTCGGCGCCGCGCCGCCTCTGCTGCGCGGGTCGCGGGGGCGTCTCGGACGCAGGGCGCCTTCCCCGGCGCCTCTCGCGCCTCGATGCTTCGGGAGCCTTGAGACGGGGGTCAATATAGACAGGGGTCAGCCAGGGCGCCAGATCCTGCAGGATCCTGCGAAGACCCCCTCTGGCTGACCCGGGTTAGGGAGCCGTTCGTGGCCGCGAGGCGGCCGCGCGTATTGGCTGACCCGGGTCTGCGAAGACTTGCGTGGCAGTTTTTTTTCCTGCATTTCAGTTTTAGGTTTCCTGCTGACCCCGGTCTGGATTGACCCGGGTCAGAAGATCCCCGAATGTTCGACCGTGCTCGCCCTCCCTCCTCCTCCCCTCGGGGGCAACGATAGGCTCAAGTCGGGCCTGTCCCGCTACAGGGGGATGTTCGACGAACAATTTGGAAAAACATACCCCCAAAATAGTCCAAAGATAGTCCAAACATTGTCGGGGGACTACTGTTTGAGCATTTGTTTTGCCATTTTGGGGCATGTTTGGGGTATTGCTTATTTTTCGTCGAAAATCCCCTTGTAGGGGGACAGGCCCGACCTAACGATAGGGGAGGGGATATCAAGAATAAGGAAAGGTGCCCGTGCCTCTACCCTTCGCCCGTTTCCCCCTCCTTTGGGCTTCCCCTCGGGGGCAACGATGGGGGGGGTGGGATAGGCGCAGGGAGGGGAAGGAACAATGACGTAATCATCATAACTCGAAGGTCCGCGCGGATTTCTCGGATCGGCGTTGTGGCCCCCTGGCGGCGCCTCCAGCGCCGCCCTGTGCGCGCTCCGCGCAACAGGGAGGGGGTTCGAGCGCCGATCCGAGAAATCCGCGCGGACCTCCGAGTTGTTATGTTTATGTCATTGTTCGTTCCCCTAGATAGGCGTAGGGGGGGATGCATCGACCCCACATCGTTTATTGATCGCCGATCGGGGTTTGATGGCCCCATCCCGCCCAGGGAGGTGAGGTTTAGCTATCGGGGTCCTATCGCCGATCTACCGGCGATCTATCGCCGATTCCAGATCGATGCATCCCCCCCTATGCCGGTCCCCCCTATCTTTGCCCCTCATCCTCATTACGCTCCTTCGCCGTCTGCACCCCCTTCCGACACCCCCTGCTGCTCCTCGCATCCGTGTTGCCCTCTGCTGCTGCTGCTCGTCCGCCTCGACCTGGGCACACTTGGATGCGTAGCCGATCCAGCCATGCACCCGCATGACACGAGTAGATCCGCTGCCCTCTCGTGGTCCCAACAATTCTGCTGCGAGCCACGGAGGACAGGAGTGCGTGGAGGGCAGAGGCGGCAACTGTGCCGATGCGGATGCTCGGCTCGGACAGTTCCGGCCGCCACGGCGGGATTTGCACCGGATCCCTCGCCAGAACGGTTCCAGGGAGAGTCGGGGGCAACGATAGGGGGGGGATAGGCGTAGGGGGGGGGATGCATCGACCCCCAATCACCCATTGATCGCCGAGGGGGGCCCGATAGCCCCAACCTGCCCAGGAAGGTTCGGACTCGCTGTCAGAGGCCTATCGCCGATCTATCGGCGATGTATCGCCGATTCCAGGTCGATGCATCCCCCCGTATGCCAGTCCCCCCCAATCGTTGTCCCTCAGAGAGGGAGGAGGTCTCATGGCGCCAGCATCGCAGAGCGGATGTCGTTCGGAAAACGATACGACGGGCCCGGAGTGTGTTGGAGAATTTCGTTCCAGATTTCGATATGGATTTCGTGCGGATTTTTTTCGTCAGGAATGAAGACTAACAACAAATCCACGCGAACTTCATGTCGTTTTTCGCTCGCCTTTTTTTCTCAGGGTTTTGCGCTGACAGAAATCCACGCCAAAATCCGCTGCAGCACGTCTGCAAGGTCGGTGCAGTAAGAGGTCGCCATGCGGCAGGCATCGGGTTGACACAGAAGGGGGTCCAGCGACAAGGGGGTGTTGCAATCAATAGAATTGGCGCAATAGATTTGCGGGGTTGCAATACATTTGGGGCGTGCAGTACATTCCGGGGCGCAAACGTATTGCCGGATCTTCGCGTGCAAGACACCACTTGCAATACAGCGCAACACAGCTCTCCGGCGCAACACGTTTGCAATACGATTGCCCCAAATTCGGGGGCGGCAAAGAGGGGGGTGATGATTAGGGGGGGGTGGATATCATGGCGTGGGCCATGATATTTCCACAGATTTCATGGCGCCTCTTCTCATTTCATTACGTCCCTGGCCCCCCCGCTGGGCCGCGCACATGTCGCGGGTCAGGATTTGCACCCCCCCCCCTCATGGACACCCCCCTCTTGGCCGCTCCCGACAAATCTATTGCACCACCCCCTTTGAGCCGGGCCCCTTTTGGGTCACCCAAAAGATCGCACGCCCAGAGGTTGACACCAGCACCAAGATCGGCGGTGTGCCTCCACCGAGGGATGAAGATCCCAATCTCGGTGATGGTGGTAATATTCTGGCTTCCAAGGTGACCGAAATATTTCCACCAACACCGAAATCCAGGATCATCTTCCCCCTGTGGAGGCAACCCCTGTTTTGGTGTTGGTGCCTATTTCCAGGCCTCCAAAAGGAGGCAGGAGGAGGACCGGGTGGTGTGCGGGGCCAGGACGTCTACTGCATCACGTGTTGGGAGTCCTTCCTGCAGCGGAACCCCTCCCTGGAGGCCCCGCCTCGCCTGGCCGGCCTGCCAGTCGCCATTGTCCCCGGCGTGCTCGGGTGCTCAAGCCGGGCGTGTCCCTCCACAGGAGGAATACTCCAGATTTCGTCATACAAGGGAGGGGGTCACAACCCTCCCAGACGAGAAGTTTTAGACCCCCCAGACTATCCATCAAAGGGGGGGCCCTTTGCCCAGACCCCCCCCGAACCCTCCAAGACAGCTCAAATTAGACCCCCCCCCGAATGTGACCCCCCCACTCTGTTATGGAATCCGGAGTATCTTCAAAGGATCAAACAAGCGTCTGGAGACGATCTCTCTGCCATGTTTTTTAAATAGTTGCCGAATTGTTTTGAGAAGGTTTGAGCTTCCTTCCATCAAGCAGTGGCGAAGCGTCCCTGCTCGCGTATAGCCCCACCAGACAATGATCTAAGAGCCTTTTGTGGTTCCCACGACATGTTCTTAGAACATTTCTGGCTGGGACTGCCTCGTCTTAAAACCTCGGGCTAATGTTCTAAGAACCTTATTGTTGTTCTTAGAACGTGTGTCAGCTCTGAGAGCATTCCGTGGTATGACTATAGGCTATAGGAATGCCGGGACGGTTGGTCCCTGTGTTAATTCCAGCATCCGCCTGCAGGGGGGCACGCCCGACCTGAGCGGAGGCTCCGCGCGAGGGCGGGTGCGCTGCTCGCCGACGGGGCCACGGGCGCAGCCCGACGGAAGCAGACGACGGCCCCATTCGCGACAGCCTGTGGGGTCCCATCAGGAGGGGAAAAACACACAGACACAATGAATCGTCGATTCCAAAGGAAAGATGGGAAAGTATGGGAAGTGGAGGGGAAGACACAAAAACATGAAAATACAGGAAAATATGGGGAATCGTGTTATTTGTGTGTATGCATTTGTGTGTCCCAGGGCCCCTTTATCCTAGCGGAGCTCCGCTGCGTGCGCTGGCTGGGTGAGGAAGTCTTGGCCGCGCTTCGGCAGACAGGATTCTCCCCCCCCCGAACCTCACGATTCAGGAGGGGAAAAAACACACACACAGACACAATTGATCGTCGACTGCCCGGAAAATATGGTAAAATAAAGGAAGTTGGGGGGAATACGAACATCCAGCAGACTCGGCAGCGACGACAGGGGCGAATAGCCCAGGGGCGGGGATTACACGTATTCGCCCGGGAGCCTCTTCGAAGACAAAGATCATCGGCGCGCCTGAACGCATGTATTGCTCTCCCTTGGGCTGATTATTCGCCCCTGTCGTCGCCTCTGGCAGACAGGGCTCCACCCCGTGCTGTGTGGCCCGCGTGCTGTCTGCTTGATTGGCTCCTGGCCTGCAGCTCCTCTGGTGCTGTGGCGCCCGCCTGCCACCTCCGGGTTGGCAGCTGCTGCAGGTCCGACGCCTGGCGTTCCAGGGCGCTGAGCCCTCCCCGTCCTTCCGCGTCCCTCCTTCTGGGACGCGAATAGACTTGGGTCGGGCATGTCCCCCTATAGGGAGGAGCTTGGGCGAAAAAATATTGAATACCCCAAAAATGCCCCAAACTGATCAAACAACTACCCAACAAATCGTCCGCAAACTATTCTTCGACTATTTTTGAACAGGCCCGACCTAAGCATAGACATGCTGATCGTCCTTGCAGGCGCGCGTCCGACCCGAACATGCAGTATACCCGTCTTTTGTAGTAGATCGTTCCCCCGAGCGGTACGGCCAGACCGCGCCGGCCACGACGCGCATACGACACGATGTTTCGTTCGCGCTTCGCCCCATGGGGGTGCGGCATCGCCAGGTGGCATCTTGCCTACTTGGCCATGTGGACCAGGCTGTTGTGGGCCACCTTGTTCTTTTCACCCTCGCTGTCCTTCGCGTCCTACGGGGGTCTGCGGATGATCCCAGGCGAAATCCAAAACAAAACAAAACAAAACAGTAGTACCAGTATGTTGGGGTGACGCCGATCCTTGCTAATGTTCGAGCACGCACACAGCGAAGCCGCGCGCCGCATCGTCTTCTCCTCCCTCTGCTGTCCGCCAAGTATCTTAAGCAGTGGAAGAGCGTCCTGGCTCGCCTGTAGGCCTACCAAACCATGTTCTAAGAACCGTTTGTGGTTCCACGGGATGTCTTGAGAACATGTCTGGCTGGGCCTGCCGTGCTTTCACACATCGGGCTTGTGTTCCGAGAACACTGTTTTGGGTTCTTAGGGCATGTTTGGGTTCTGAGAACATGTTTCAGGAGGAAAATAAACACACAGACACAATTAATTTTTGATTCCCCAGAGAATATAGCAAAATATGGGAAGTGGGGGGGAAGACGGAAACCCAGAACATATGGGAAACTATGGGGAATCGTCTTATTTGTGTGTATCTATTTGTGTGTCCTGGGGCCCCTTCAGTTGTGGTGTAGGCCTATTGGAATGCCGGGACGGTCGGCCCCAGCTCGAATCCCAGTGTTGTGGTGTATCAAGAGGGGAAAAAACACACAGACACAAGTAATCGTCCATTCCCAGGAAAATATGGGAAAATATGGGAAGTGGGGGGGGAGACAAAAACCGAGAAAATATAGGAAACTATGGGGAATATTGGAATGCCGGGACGGTCGGCCCCTGCTCGAATCCCAGGGGCGCGACGCCGACGCGCCCCCTTCCCCCCCCCCCCCTTGGCGGGAGAGGGGCCGCTCGGGGACTCCTGGGAGCCTCCGGGGGCGGAGGGCTCGAAATGTCCGCTCAGACACCCCCTCTTCGGGCCCCCTCTCGGGCCGTCCTGTGGCCCTCTTCGGCCGCCTTGGGGCCCTCTTCGGGCCGTCTTGGGAGCCCTCTTGTCGGGGGAGAAAAAGATACGGATACGTGTTGTCCCCCGTCGGTTTCGGCCTTTCCTGGTCCTCCTGGGGAATCCTCGTTGTCACCGCTGGATTCGCCTCGAAATTCTGGTCAGAACGCACCCCAAGAGAGGTCCGGGGACAACACGTATCCGTATCTTTCCGCCCCCCAGCTCTTGGGAGCCTCTTGGGCAATCCTGGGACGATCTCGGGGGCCTCTCGCGCCTCGTGGCGCGGAGATCGGGCGCACGCGCCCGATGCAGCCGACGCAGACCAGCGTGCGAGCAGCTCGGTGATCGTTTCTTCTTCGTCGTTTTGCCGATCGGCGCGAGGAGAGGGAGGAGAGGGAAGGAGAAAGGGAGGCGGAGAGGGGTGGGGGGAGGGAGGAGGAGGGGAGGAGAGAAATGGGGGAGATGAGGAGGAGGGAGAGGGGGAGGGAGAGGGTGGAGGGAGAAGGTAGGAAGAAGGTCGGGAGTAGGGGGGGGGGGCCCTCCCCCGCCCCATGGAGTAGATCTTGTCTGTTTTCTGGCGCCTGCTTCGAGCAGGTCGGGTCTCCTCTCATAGGACCCGCTGCTGCAAGCAGTCGCAAACGTAGCAGAGGTCCGGAGACAGACCCCCTCCCCTCCCCCCCCTTCCGCCCAATGTCGAGACGCCGAATAAACAATGGCTCACTTGGCAGCGCTCGGACGCGTGCACTGTTCCTCGGCGAGGACCATCGAGGAGCATTTTTCGTGCACCTTGCGAAAAATAAGGGAAGAAAAACCACCCAAACCCGATAATTCGCGTTTACTAAACGGCCCTAAGCGTCTACTAAACAGCCCTGCCCTGTTCGATTATTTCATTGGTTGCGTTTACTGAGCGGCCTCGCTTGTCGGGGTGGGGGCGGATTTTTTCCTTTTCAAAATTGCACGCACGCAGTCGACAGCAGTGCACAGGGAGTGGACGTCCGAGCGATGGCGGGCCAAGAGCTTCTCATCCTCCGCCGCGTTTTCTTGTTGAGAAGGCCGGGGCCCAGGTCTGCGGTGGCTCCAGCGACGCAGACTTCGGTTGCCTCGGTCAGGGTCTGTATCGTTTAACCGATCCCCATCCCCATCCCCACCGCCTTCGAGACTCCCACCAAATTACCACCCCAGTTGGGGATACACCCCTCGAAAACCGAAGGGAACGGCCTCCATCCCCATCTAGGGGGGTAAATCGGCCTGTGTGGCCCAGGCCACGCCGCTGGGGATGGGGGTCGGATAAACGATGCTCACAGGGTGCTGGACAGTCTTACCATCCCTGTGTTCGTAAATGTGCGGGGCTTGCTCTGACCAGGGCAGCAGACCCCCACGCGTGACGAGACGTGCTCGAACATGACCGCTGGACCCGAAAGTGCGCATACTCACAGAGAGCGGGGCGGCTGTGCATGTCGGGGCACTCCTCACACGGATGGTGCCCCCGAGAGGAGAGCTCGGCGCGCCTCGGCGCGGCGCTCGCTCTCCACAGCGCCCTCTCCGCACTGCCCCCGGACTCTAACCCCTCCCGCGGCGCGCAGTGCGCGAGGAGGGTGCCGCGCACTGCCCTGCAAGCCGTGGCGCAGGGCCGGGCTGTTCGCCAGGCCAGTGGTCGTCGCACGGCGCCGTTCGCCGCTCGGCGAGGCTCCCGGGCCCCTCCGGCCCGCCCTATTCGGCCCCTCCGGCCCGCCCCCGCCCTTGCCCCCCCCCCCCACGGGCTTCCCGCCCCCGGCTTCCCCCTTCTGGCCCCGAGCCCAGCCGCGTTCCAAGAGGTTGGCGCCAGTTCATGTTAGTCGTTCGTCGCGCCCCCCTCGTTCCCCCTCCTCCGGGCCCCCTCCTCATCTCCCCCATCTCTCTCCTCCCCTCCTCCTCCCTCCCCCCACCCCTCTCCGCCTCCCTTTCTCCTTCCTCCCTCTCCTCCCTCGCCTCCCTCTCCTCCCTCTCCTCCCTCTCCTTCCCCTACTCCCGACCTTCTTCCCACCTTCTCCCTCCTCCTCCCCTCCCCCTCCCTCCTCCCTCCTCCCTACTACCTCCCTCCCATCCCTTCTCCTGTCGAGGGCCGCGTGTTCGGGGCGGCATCTGGGTCCCCACTCTCCCCATTCTGGGCTCGCGAAGGCCATGGATGACCTGACTCCCCTCCTTTTCTGATCCTGGATCCTCCTCCTCCTCCTCCTCCTCGATCCTCGATCCTCGACCCGCATCCTCGATCCTCGATCGCTCTGGTCCTCGCCCTCCTGCTCCTGCTCCTCGATGCTCCCTCCCCCCTCGATTCTCCCACTGGGCCTGCCCACCTCAGAGCGTGAATTACCTCCCCCGCTTTCGCTTCCAGGCAAAACCAAGTCATACCACGCGCCTCCTCGTCAAGCGGCCTGACCAGTACAGGCCGTAGTTTGGCATCGTTTGGTATCTCTTGGAAGCGAGGGTGGTCAAAAGCGAGGTAGGTTTGTTTTCCCCCTACCACCTCCGTGCCCACCTGGGCCCATCCTCTCCCCCCCTGAGCCGACCCCTTGGCATCGCTCGGACGTGTGCATGTTTCCTTCGGCGAGGGCCATCGAGGAGCACCCTTGATGATTTGGCGAAAACGCCACGCGCGAAACCGACAAAAAAAAACACAGGGAAGGGACGTCCGAGCGAAGGCGAGACCCCGGCTCCGAGCCTATCCCCTCCCCCTGACAGCATCTCCCCTCCTCGGACCGATCCTGTTCCTCGCCGATCCCTCATGCAGGAGCCAGGGCGCGCGTGCCGCGCGGTCGTGGAATATCTCGAGTGCCCGGCCGAGGTCCGAGCCTCCGGGGGCGACGCCACTTTCGGAGGTGCGGCCCCGTGGTGCGTGCGTCGTGCGCCAGTGCGCATGGGGCGGTGTTACGCCGCGGGGGCTGTCTGTCGGGCCGGGCGAAAGGGGGGGATTGGGAAAGGGGGGGTTACGAAATTTGCTGCATGCAGGTGGTTTCGGCCTCACCGAGGGGCCCGTTCCTCGATACATGGCCGCCTCCGGCGCCGGGAGGCGCCGGGAAAATCAGCTGCGTGAGCTGATTCTCAAACCCCCCCTTTGCTATCCCCCCCTTTCGCCCGACCCGAGTCTGGAGACTGGTATTTCCGAAATTCTAGCGAATCGCTTTGGCCACCTGTAGAAGATGCTCACAAACACTGATGTCTAGTGGCCTTGGGCCCATGCCGCCAACGTGCCTGGGTTGTGGGTAAAGTGTTCCTCGGATGCTTGTTGGGGTCCCCTGGGAAGCTTCTGCGGCGTCTCTTGGAGGCAGTTTTGAAGCCTCTTGGGGCCTCATAGGGGGCCGTTTAGGGTCTTCCTGATGCTTCCTCAGGGCCTCTTGCGGGCCTCTTGGGGACTTCTTGGGGACTTCTTGTGGGTTTGCTGGCGATCTCGGGGGCCTCCTCGGGGCGGAGGGCTCCAGCTCTAAGCTCGAGTTTCCCATCTCGGGCCCAGTGGGCCCCCCTTAGGCAGTCTTAGGCCCTTTGAGGCGCGTTGGGCCCTCTTGGGGGCCTCTTGGGCTATCTTGGGGCGATCTTGGGAATTGGGCTCTTTCTGACGTTGTGAAAGCCCTGGTGGCGAATATGTTGACATACATGTGTCCCGCGGAAGTATTAAGATTTTTGGTTTTTGGATTGCTCTCGGGGCCGTCTTGAAGCGTCTGGTGGGCTCTTTTGCCGTCTTGGGGCCACAGTGAGCCGTCTTGAAGTTGTCTTGGATCGCTCTGGGCCCTCTTTGGCCCTCTGAGGCGGCTCTTGAGACGCTCTCGAGGGTTCGGAAGGTCGTCTTCGGCCGGCGGAGGAGCTCCAGCGAGCCCCCTGGAGTTCCCAGGAGCTTCCAGGAGCGCACGGAAAATCCCGGAAGCGGCTTGGAACAATTGGGGGTCCAGGCCCGTAGAATACATAACCCCTCTACCTCTCAGGGCTGCAAGGCTGCATGTGCCTTCGGGCACTCCACCGCGTGCTGAGGACACGGGGGGGGTTCTCCTGTGACTCACCATCCATTCTTTGGCACGACGGGTTTGGACGAACGTCTTTTCTGGCGAGACCATGCCAGGCAGGATCGGGGAAATTGGCAGGCAGCAAGGGCTATTCGGAAAGAGACGGTGCTCAACGTGTCGTCTGTCCTCGCACCCTTTGTGCCATCCCATCCCGTGCAGGGCGATATCGTCGAGGACGAATCCCTGCTGGACTCCTGAGCCGCGGTGGCAGACGCAATATCATGCATCGCAGACGCATTCGGCGAGCCACCGCCGCCCACTACTGCTCGAAAACGCCCGTGCGTTGTGAGACGTCAGGCGAAGGTGTGGCCACGCCCGTGGACTGCGTGTTCCCCGGCTGTTAGGGAAACCGCCCGGGGAACACCTGGAAGAGGCTTCCTCCTCCTCGTTCTCCTCGTCCTCCTCCTCCTCCTCGTCCTCCTCCTCGTCCTCCTCCTCCTCCTCCTCCTCCTCCTCCTCCCTCCTCCTCCTTCTCGGTTCTCCCTCCTCCCCCCAGCGGGACTGCAACCTGGGCCGGCGCGCCAGTCCGCCGACCCCCACGAGGAGCGGGTGTTCGAGGCGGTCGCGGAAGTCACATCTTGAGCCGGGAGACTCCTTGGATGCAGATTGTCAACCGCATAGTAAGGGTGGGCAGCCTTCCCAGGGGTACCATTGCATCCTTGCCTGCTCGGCCCATCCTTGGCCGCTTTCGATGGCCGCGGCCCGCTCGAAAAGCTTCGGAAGGGGCGTCCGAGGCCCCTGCATCCTTATCGCGCATCCGTACTATCCTGGTCCCGTGTACATCTTGAGCCAGAAGATTCTTGGATGCATATGAGGGTCTCTCGGGATACCTCTCTGGGGCCTCTTGGAGAACTCTCGGGGGCCTCTCGGAGGCGTCTCAGAGGGGCCTCGGGGGCCTCCAGGGGGCTCGAGGGGCCATCCTGGTGGGAAAGACTCGGAATATCAGTTCGTACTTCCCCTCTTGGGCTTTCTTGGGGCCGTCTTGGGCTGTCTTGGGCCGTGTTGGGGGGACCCTGGGCTGTCTTTGGGCAGTCTTGGGATTTTCTCGGAGGCATCATGGGCCGTCTTGGGACGTTCTCGGGGGCCACTTGGGCCGTCGTGTTCGCTGTCAAAACGTAAAATGCGATTGTGTTGATAATGTACTTGTGGTCCCTAGGGAATGAGATAATTTGGCCTCTTGGGGCCTTCTCGGCGATCCTTTGGAGGCGCTTTGGGGCTGTCCTGGGGCTCTCGTGAGCCATCTTCAAGCAATCTCGGATTGTCGTGGGGCTACCCTGGGCCGTCATGACGCTCTCTTTGACTGTCTTGGCACTCTGTCTGGGCCCTGTTGTGCTATCTTGTGGCTTGTGGGGGGCTCCGGAGGCCTCGGGGGTGCGTTGACGAGCTCGTGCCCGGGCCCCCCCCCCTTTGAATGGCATGTTGGCACTCAGAACGGCATTTTGGACCCCAGTGGAGGGGGAAAGGGGGAGGGAGACAGCCAAACATCTCACACGCCTTCTTACCCCCGGCAAGCGGGGGTCGGCGGACATTACTTAGGGCTCTCCTCCTGGAGCTTGCTTGGGCCTTCTGGGGAGGAGGAGGACGAAGTGGAGGAGGTGTAGGTGGAGGAGGAGGTGGAGGTGGGAGTGGTGGTGGAGGAGGAGGAGGAGAAGGAGGAGGAGGAAGAGGAGGGTCTGAGGGCGCTCTTTGGCCGGCTGGCAGATTCGGAGGCCGTCGGGGGTTCTCTTCTGGGCGCCTGCCGTGTACCCATATTGGGGCTGCCTGGGGGATGTGTTGGGCCGTCTTGGGGCCGTCTTAGGCCGTTTTGGTGCCCTCTTGGGAAGCTTTCCGGCGGTTTGGGGCGCTCTCGAGATTCTAGGCCTCCCCGATGGGGTCGGAGTCCGACCCCACCCAGGAGGCCTTCACTCCTGGGAAGCTTTTCGGCGGTTTCAGACGCTCCCAAGACAGAGAAGGGGGAAATCCGAACATCACATTAAACCAATTGAAGTGATGTTGGCGACCTCCTGCAGCCTTCTTGGGGCGTTTTTGGAGCCCTCCATGGAGACTTTATGGAGCCTTGTTGGGACGTCTTGGGGGCCGCTTGGACCGTCTTGAGGCCATCTCTTTGGTCAATGTTGCGCCCATTCGGAGGCATCTCGAGTCTATCCGGAGGCCCCTGGAGCCATCCGGGACCGAGTTGGTGGCGGCAAGGACCGTTTTGGAGAACTTGGTGAGCCATCTTAGGCGGGAAGTCCCACCTCGTCGGCGTGGAGGCTTCTTGGGATTCCCCTCAGGAGTCTCTTGGACAACTTTCATGGGCCTCTTGAAGGTCTCCTGGTACCTCTTGAGGCATTTTGGAGCCCGTTTCGTTACTGCTTGGGGCATGACGGGCGTCATGGCCCCCGCCCACCCGCCCCTATGACGTAACGCTCCCCCCTCCAGTGCGCTCCGGGCACTGCCCCCCAGTGCGCTCCGAGCACTGCCGCTGTGCGCATTGGGATCCGCGTAGGTGTCCGCGTAGGAATCCGCATAGGAGTCTGGTCCACAGTCGTCGTCGTCGTCGTCGTCGTCGCTCGTGGTTTGTCGCTCGTCGCTCATAGTCGTCGTGCGCGCGGACGCGGCTGAAGCCTGCTTTTTATTCCGGGCCGATGACGGCAATCATCTAGGGGGGGGATGGAGGGGTTCGATGACGACACGTTTCGCGCCGGCGGCGATTGGGAATGCCTAGGAATGACGGAGGACGGGTAGCGCCAGCATGTAGGTCGCGATTTTCACCACAACTCCTGTGTACACCACAGTGCCTGTGTGCACCACAGCGCCTGTGTACACCACCGCCTATGTACACCACAGCAGCCGCGTGCAACACAGCGTCAGTTTGTGCCACAGTGCCTGCGGGCACATCAGCTCTTGTGCACACCACAGCGCTTGCGTTCACCACATCAGCCGTGTGCAACACAGCACCAATACACACAATGCCTGCGTGCATTGCAGTGCTTGTGTGCACCACGGCGCCTGTGTGCACCACAGCAGCCGTGTGCAACACAGCACCAGTGTTGTATATAGGATGTTAGAACGAATCCTTATGACAAATGGACCGCCTGTGGATTCCACTGAAAACAATAGCGCCGCTGGAATCGACGTGTCCTCCCGAGTCCGCCCGCATCACCCTAACTCCTCCCTTTGCGTCCAGGAGGTTCCAGCTAAATTGGCCGTCCGAGAACCGACTGGACCGATTCAACGCGGTGCGCGCTGAGATGCGCACGTGCGCTGTATCGCCAACCCGCACGACGGGGGGTAATGAGGAGGAGGAGGAGGAGGAGGAGGAGGAGGAGGAGGAGGATAAGGAGGAGGAGGTGGGGGTGGAGGTGGAGGTGGCGGAGGAGGAGGAGGAGGAGGAGGAGGAGGAGGAGGATAAGGAGGGAAGAAGGTCGCATTCGATTATCAACAATTTCCTGGCGTGGCGTCTAGTTGTCCGCAGCAGATCCTCACGTACATGCTCCTTCTATTTGTCCTATGCACGCAGGCATTGTGGTGTACACCATCGCTGCGTTGCACGCGGATGCTGTGGTGTAGACACGCGCTGTGGAGTGCACAGGCGATGCGGTGCACGCAAGCATTGTGGTGTACACAGGCGCTGCGTTGCACATGGCAGCTGCGGTGTGCAATTGTACGCAGGCGTTGTAGTGTACGCAAGCATTGTGTTGTACACAGGCGCTGCGTTGCACACGGTTGTTGCGGTGTACGCAGGCGCTGTGGTATACACGCGCGCTGTGGTGCACGCGAGCGTTGTGGTGCACACAGGCGCAGTGGGGCATACCGACACCTACATGCTGATCGCGTCGTCGAGGTCGTCGTCGTCGTCGTCGTCGTCGTCGTCGTCTGTCGTCGTCGTCGTGATCTTCGTGGTCGTCGTCGTCGTCTTCGTCGTCGTCGTCGTCGTCGTCGCTCGTCGCTCGTCGCGTCGCGCGCGCGGGCGCGGCTGCGGTGCCGGAGCCACACGGCGGGGGGGGGCGTTACGTCATACCCCCCCCCGCCCCCCCCTCCCCCCTGACGCCCGTCATCGCCGAACATAAAGAACCGCGCTCTTGCCCCCCCACTGAGCCTCTCTTAATGTCCTCCTGTGGGCCTCGTTAGGGTCTCGAGGCCTTCTTCAAGGGAAGACTGTAACAGTGCGGCGCTGGCGCGGTATTCGAGGCCTCTTCTCGGAGCTGGCTTAAGGGGGCCTCTCGGGATTTCTCGTGGGCACTGCGGGCCATCGTTGGCCGAGGACCTCTTGGGCCGTCCGAGCACTCTCGAGGCCCCAGCGCCAGCAGCGTCAGGATCGTTCAGGACCGGTGCTCGTGGGCGGAAGCGGCTCGACCCCCCCTCCTGCCGAGGTTGGGGGGGTCGGCTGCCCTTCACTCCCGTTCCCGCCCCCTACCCAAAAGTACCCCTTTACAGCGCCGTTTTTAATACATGCTCCGCGTGTGGGTCATGTATTAACAAATTGCAGGGATTCAGCATTGAAAACAACGGTGAGTTTATGCATAATTGTTCATCAATTAATTGTGCATTAAAAATCGCATATTTTTAAACATCCTATGTATTAAACACTGCCCTGTAGGCTTTAGGGCCCTTCTGCCCCCTTCGCTCCCCCCTTCTCACATGGGGGGAGGCTCCGTGCTGGCGACTCCTCGCGACGGGGCTCGGCGCCAACGGGGCGCAGCCAGAGGGAACCAAAACACAGAGACACAATTCAGAAGCGTCAATTCCCAGGAAAACATGGGAAGATATGTGAAGGGGGGGGGAAGACAACAACCCAGAAAACCCAGAAACTATGGGAAAGCATGGTGGATCTCATTGCTTGTGTGCATTTATTTGTGTGTCCTTGGGCCCCTTCAGCGCAGCCGGAGCGCCGGATCTGCCGCAAGAGATCCGGCGCCGAGCCCGGAGGTGGGCCGAGGCGGGTCTGGGGGAGAGCCGCTCGCGGCCCTGCAGAGGCGGCCGTGCGTGTCGGCCGCAAGCCCGGCGGAGGAAGCCTTGCAAGGTTTGCGTCGGCGGCGAGGCAAGTGCTGCAGGAGGGGGACAAAACACACACACACACACAGACACATTGAATCGTCCATTCCCAGGGAGATGCGGAAGAAGAGGGGAAGTGGGGGGGGGAAGACGAGGGCCCCGAAAGCGTGGGGAAAAACATGGGGGGGGTCCTGGGACCTCTGCCTCTTTCTATTGGTGTGGCCCAGGGCCCCTTTGCAAAAAGTGCTGCGCCAGCGAGCGGCGAGCGGGGGCGGCCGAGGCGCGCATTTGGCCGGCGTGGCGTGCAGGACGGGGGGCGAACGCAGAGGCGGGCCGAGGCGGCGGCCGCAGAGGGCGGGAGAGGCGGAGGCAGCCCTGCAACACGCTGCAGAGCAGCTTTCCGGGCGGGGCTAGGACGATCGCAGGCCTACAATCTGGGCGCCCGAAATGGGGACGGAAAGAATGGGTACAATGCCCAACAGCAGTTCCTGTTCATTTTGAACAGGATTTGCTGTCCACGCCGCCGCGGCCTGTGTCCATTCGAGACAGAAGGCCGCCTGCCCAACAGCGGCCGCTGTTGGTTTGGGGCAACATTTGTTGTTGGGCATTGTACCCATTCTTTCGGTACCCATTTCGGGCGTCCAAATACAAGTCGACACCAACACCAAGATCGGCGGTGTGCCTCCACCGAGGGAAGACGGTCCCGATCTCGGTGGTGGTGGTAATAATTCTGCCTTCCAGGGTGGCCGAGATATTGTCACCAGCACCGAAATCTAGGATCACCTCCCCTCTGTGGAGGCAGCCCTCTGTCTTGGTGTTGGTGCCCATTCCCAGGCCTCCCACAGGGCGTTCCAGAACTCGCTCGGAGCGTTCCGGGGGGCGGTCGCGGAGGACGGGAGGCGGAGGCAGCCTTGCAGCACGCTGCAGAGCAGGTTTCCAGGCGGGGCCAGGACTACGTCGGGCCTGTCCCTCTACAGGAGGGATGTTCCAAAATAGTCAGGGGACGATTTTTAATTTTTATGTTGGGCGTACTTTTAAGTTTAATCAGGGAAATTACATGTTGGGCGTATTTTTCTTGCATTTTTAATTTTTCCCCCAAAATCCCCCTGTAGGGGGACAGGCCGACTTAAGGCTAGATCGAGGCTCAATCCGTTCCAGAGCGTTCTGGAACTCTCCCAGAGCGTTCCGGGGGCGCTCTGAGATGGCCGCGGCGCTGGAGACAGCCGCCAGAGCCGCCAGATCTGAAAAGTTCTCGACTTGACCTCTAGTCGGGCGTGTCCCTCTACAGGAGGAATGTTCAAAAATAGTATAAACAAATGGTATGAGGACTATTTTCTGATTACTTTTGACTATTTTGATGTATTTGCTGACGATGTGTTTTATGTTTCGCCCAAAATCCCCCTGCAGGGGAACACGCCCGACTTAATCTTAGCTCTTGAAGATCGATCGCGCTGGGTCTGCGCTGAGCCGGGCGCAGCCCACGCCCGCCCTGTGACATGGGCCTCCGTGCGGGGCTGGGGGCCGCGCCCCCCGGGCGCCCACTGGGCGGCGTAAGGAGCCGGGGCTGGCCGCGGGCATTCTTTGCGCGGGCAGTTTTTGCACGATTGTTGGGCATCTGTTGGCTATTTTTGGACATTTTCGCGTTATTTTTGATTTTTTGGGGTATTTTTTGGGGGCACGTATGATTTCTTAGGTTTGGGGGTACTTTTGATTTCTGCATCTGTGGGCAGTTTCTGATTATTTGGACAGGGCCGACCTAACATCACCCCGCTCTCCGGCGGCCGGTCGGGACGGTCCTGCCCCCCCTCCCCCCCCCGCGGACGCTCTCGGCGAGGCGCAGCCGCTGGAACGCACCCCGAGGCTGGGGAGCTGCTGAGAGCCTGCGAGAGGGCAGAGAAACCTCGTCCCCATGCGTTGCCAGTGTCAGAGCCTCGAATCATCAGGGATAACTCGGGTCAGGGCCAACTCGGATTCCTTTTTCGGGGATCCAAGCCCGAGTTACCCCGGACCCGAGGTACCCAGGATAACTCGGGCGCCCAACAGTGGCGGGGTCGGGGACGACGTCGGGGTGACGACGTCGGGGTGGTGTGGTGCATACTTGTTTTATCCGCCCCCTTGGGAAAAAAAAGCAAACCACATGTACATCATTACACCGGGGTCCCGTGTTCACTCGGATCCGCTTTCCTGTGCGAAAGTCAGTGCAGGGCCGGAGAAAGCGCCGGTGTATCAGAATTGGTTTCTTACAAGTTCCCTCTTCTAGACGTGGCGTGCCTCGGTGCCATGGCGCCAACATCGCAGAGCGGATTTCACTCGGAAGACAACGTGATCGGCCCAGAGTGTCCTGAAGAGTTTCGTTCTGGATTTCGGAGTGCATTCCACGCGGATTTGTTTGGGGCCAGGAATGAAGATTACAAACAATCCACGAGAAATCTACGTCGTTGTTTGATCGCCGTTTCGGGGCTTTGCATTGACCGAAATCCACACAACAGTCCGCTGCAGCACGTCCACAAGGTCGGTGCAGTGAACGGTGGCAGCCCGCGTTAGCCGTGGCGTGGGGTCGATGAGCCTTCTTCGGGTGAGGAGCACTATGCACATACACTGGTCTTGGTCAGGCCCATGTGGAGGGGTTCTTCGGAGGGCTTAGGCGACTGTCCTCCTCCTCGTCCTCCTCCTCCTCCTCCTCCTCCTCCTCCTCCTCCTCCTACTCCCTCCTACCCCTCCCTCCTCCTCCTCCTCCTCCTCCTCCTCCTTCTCCTCCTCCTCCTCCTCCTCCTCCTCCTCCTCCTCCTCCATCTCCCCCTCCCGCTTCCCCTCCTCCTGCTCCTCCTCCTCCTCCTCCTCCTCCTCCTCCTCCTCCTTAGGTCGCCTACGGCCCCGGGAGAAACCGTGCATTCTTCGTACACACACACAACAGACACACAGAATCGTCGATCCCCAGGAACAGTATGGAACGTGGGGGGGGAAGACGAAACTCAGGAACATGTGAGAACATCGAGGAACATGAGGAAACATGAGAAAGCAGGGACACGTATGAGAGGATCTGGATTGGTGTGTGTGTGTGTGTGTGTGTTTGTTTGGCGTGCCCCTGGGCCCCTCTGTTGGCCTGCTCCCTCGAGGAGGCTGGCCGCCAGGGGGGGGCCTCAGGTGGGCGGCCTCTGGCGCCCGAGGGGCCGGCTCCGCCGGGGGCGGGGGCCCTCGCGGGGGGCGCCCTTGCCCAGGGGGCCCCGGGAGGAGCGCCACGCGGCAGACGCGCCTCGCGGAGAGCGCCCGCTCCGCGGGGCGTCCTCCTGCTCCTCATCTCCTCCTCCTCCACCTCCTCCTCCTCCTCCTCCTCCTCCTCCTCCTCCTCCTCCACCTCCTCCTCCTCCTCCTCTCCTCCTCCTCCTCCTCCTCCTCCTCCTCCTCCTCCCCCTCCTGCTCCTCCTCCCCCTCCTCCTCCTCTTCCTCCTCCTCCTTGGGTCGCCTACGGCCTCGGGGGAAGCCGTGCTCCCTGGGGATGTCAAGAGGTAGCGATACCGCTACTCCACGGACCTCTCCCGGGGCGCGTCCTGACCAGGAGGCGACGAGGGCGCATCCAGCGGTGGCGACGACGGCCGCCCAGGGAGGCCCAAGAAGGGGAACACGAGGGAAGGGGGCAGAGGCACCTCGCCAGCCTCCTCGCAGCCACCGCCAGCCCCGTACTTTCATTGATTTCCCGCCGCACGATCGACTCGGACCGCCTCAAGATTCAAGATCGACTCGGATATGACCCCCAAGCAACGCAAACAAGTAGGGCAGAAGTCTCCGCCTCAGAAGCGTCGGGCGCATACATCCGCAGAAGTGTTGGCGGAAACAGCGGCCGACGGCAGAGTAGGGCCGACACTGACTTCAGAGGAGCGTGAAAAGCAGGGCGGGCAGTTCCGCCCTGCCTTCGACAGCACACAGCGTACGGCGGATTAGGGTCCCGGGTGGGCTTTCCCAGGAACTCCAGGGTCGGGCCGGACGAAAGGGGGGGATTGGGAAAGGGGGGGTTACGAAATTTGCTGCATGCAGCTGATTTCGGCCCCACCGAGGGGCCCATTCCTCGATACATCGTCGCCTCCGGCGCCGGGAGGCGCCGGGAAAATCAGCTACGTGAGCTGATTCTCAAACCCCCCCTTTGCTATCCCCCCCTTTCGCCCGACCCGACAGGGTTCTGGGGCCCCTGCAGCATTTCTGCAGTGTTCCAATTCAGAGAGCTCGAACGGATCGTCAGGACGGTCAGTGCGGTGCCTTGTTGCACGGTGGCGGACTTGTGAATCGGCGCGCCAGCGATCGGTCGAGGATGTGAGCGTGGAGATGATTGGAGCTCAGTCGCAGGAAAAAGTGCGAGGCGGAGGGATGTGCCGAATACCGTCGCGCACTGCAATCTGCGATGAAGTTTGTTTCGCGATTGCCAGCAGTGAGTCATGTCGCACTCGAGTTAACGAGGGTAGCCGCGGTCTGGCCCTCATGGGAGATCATTTCATATCTCTACACATGTATCGATTTTGTGCAGCAGCATTCTTGCCAGCGCGTTTCGGGGCCGATCTTGTCATATGCGGTGCGCCTGGCCGTTGGCTCGTCTGTGCCCTGCGGGTGGTGCCGAACGGTTGGTGCGCGATGGTTGGTGTCCTGCGGCGGATGCTCTATGGTGTACCCTCTGCGGTTGGTTCTTCATGGAATGTGCCTCGTTATTTGTGTTAAGTCGGGCCTGTCCCTCTACAGGAGGAATCTCAAACCATAATTCCAAAAATAATCAGGGGACGATTTTTCCGAACCCTCCCTTGGTTGGGTACTCGCTTTGAATAGAGCACTCTGGTCGCTCCGTCCTCCCGCCCACCTCCCTCCTGCCTCCTACCTCCTCCTCGCGGCACCCTCTGGGGGGCTGCGATCTGCGCATCTGTCGCCTCCTGCGATCTTGCGCAACTGTCGGCACTTTCGTGGGCTCCTGGGAGGCCCAGCGGAGTGGGGTGACACGCGGATCGCGTCGGGACCTCGCGGCTCCTTGCGGGGGGAGCTGCCAACTGCGCAACAGTCGGCACTTTCGTGGGCTCCTGGGAGGCCCAGCGGAGTGGGGGTGACACGCAGATCGCGCCGAGACCTCGCGGCTCTCTGCGGGGGGAGCTGCCAACTGCGCAACAGTCGGCACTTTCGTGGGCTCCTGGGAGGCCCAGCGGAGTGGGGTGACACGCAGATCGCGCCGAGACCTCGCGGCTCTCTGCGGGGGGAGCTGCGATCTTGCGCAATTGTCGGCATTTTCGTGGGCTCCTGGGAGGCCCAGCGGAGTGGGGGTGACACGCAGATCGCGTCGGGACCTCGCGGCTCCCTGCGGGGGGAGCTGCGATCTTGCGCAACTGTCTGCATGTTCGTGGGCTTCTGGGAGGCCCAGCGGAGTGGGGGTGACACGCGGATCGCGTCGGGACCTCGCGGCTCCTTGCGGGGGGAGCTGCGATCTTGCGCAACTGTCTGCATGTTCGTGGGCTCCTGGGAGGCCCAGCGGAGTGGGGGTGACACGCAGATCGCGCCGAGACCTCGCGGCTCCCTGCGGGGGGAGCTGCGATCTTGCGCAACAGTCGGCACTTTCGTGGGCTCCTGGGAGGCCCAGCGGAGTGGGGTGACACGCGGATCGCGTCGGGACCTCGCGGCTCCCTGCGGGGGGAGCTGCGATCTTGCGCAACTGTCGGCATTTTCGTGGGCTCCTGGGAGGCCCAGCGGAGTGGGGGTGACACGCGGATCGCGCCGAGACCTCGCGGCTCCCTGCGGGGGGAGCTGCGATCTTGCGCAACTGTCTGCATGTTCGTGGGCTCCTGGGAGGCCCAGCGGAGTGGGGGTGACACGCGGATCGCGTCGGGACCTCGCGGCTCCTTGCGGGGGGAGCTGCGACCTTGCGCAACTGTCTGCATGTTCGTGGGCTCCTGGGAGGCCCAACTGAGTGGGGGTGACACCTGGATCGCGCCGGGACCTCTCGTCTCCTTGCGGGGAGAGCTGCCACCTGCGCAATTGTCGGCAGTGGGGGTGACACGCGGATCGCGTCGGGACCTCGCGGCTCCCTGCGGGGGGAGCTGGCAACTGCGCAACAGTCGGCACTTTCGTGGGCTCCTGGGAGGCCCAGCGGAGTGGGGGGTGACACGCAGATCGCGCCGAGACCTCGCGGCTCTCTGCGGGGGGAGCTGCCAACTGCGCAACTGTCGGCACTTTCGTGGGCTCCTGGGAGGCCCAGCGGAGTGGGGGTGACGCGGATCGCGTCGGGACCTCGCGGCTCCCTGCGGGGGGAGCTGCGATCTTGCGCAACTGTCGGCATTTCGTGGCTCCTGGGAGGCCCAGCGGAGTGGGGGTGACACGCGGTGAGGCTCCCTGCGGGAGCTGCCAACCGCAACTGTCGGCACTTTCGTGGGTGGGAGGCCCAGCGGAGGGGGTGACACGCGGATCGCGTCGGGACCTCGCGGCTCCTTGCGGGGGGAGCTGCCAACTGCGCAACAGTCGGCACGTTCGTGGGCTCCTGGGAGGCCCAGCGGAGTGGGGGTGACACGCAGATCGCGCCGAGACCTCGCGGCTCTCTGCGGGGGCAGCTGCCAACTGCGCAACTGTCGGCACTTTCGTGGGCTCCTGGGAGGCCCAGCGGAGTGGGGTGACACGCGGATCGCGTCGGGACCTCGCGGCTCCCTGCGGGGGGAGCTGCGATCTTGCGCAACTGTCGGCATTTTAGTGGGCTCCTGGGAGGCCCAGCGGAGTGGGGGTGACACGCGGATCGCGCCGAGCCGAGACCTCGCGGCTCCCTGCGGGGGGAGCTGCGATCTTGCGCAATTGTCGGCATTTTCGTGGGCTCCTGGGAGGCCCAGCGGAGTGGGGGTGACACGCGGATCGCGTCGGGACCTCGCGGCTCCCTGCGGGGGGAGCTGCCAACTGCGCAACAGTCGGCATTTTCGTGGGCTCCTGGGAGGCCCAGCGGAGCGGGGGTGACACGCGGATCGCGCCGGGACCTCGCGGCTCTCTGCGGGGGGAGCCGCCAATTGCACAACTGTCGGCACTTTCGTGGGCTCCTGGGAGGCCCAGCGGAGTGGGGTGACACGCGGATCGCGTCGGGACCTCGCGGCTCCCTGCGGGGGGAGCTGCGATCTTGCGCAACTGTCGGCACTTTCGTGGGCTCCTGGGAGGCCCAGCGGAGTGGGGGTGACACGCGGATCGCGCCGGACCTCGCGGCTCCCTGCGGGGGGAGCTGCCAACTGCGCAACTGTCGGCACTTTCGTGGGCTCCTGGGAGGCCCAGCGGAGTGGGGGTGACACGCGGATCGCGTCGGACCTCGCGGCTCCCTGCGGGGGGAGCTGCCAACTGCGCAACTGTCGGCACTTTCGTGGGCTCCTGGGAGGCCCAGCGGAGTGGGGGGGACACGCAGATCGCGTCGGGACCTCGCGGCTCCCTGCGGGGGGAGCTGCCAACTGCGCAACTGTCGGCACTTTCGTGGGCTCCTGGGAGGCCCAGCGGAGTGGGGTTACACGCGGATCGCGTCGGGACCTCGCGGCTCCTGCGGGGGGAGCTGCCAACTGCGCAACTGTCGGCACTTTCGTGGGCTCCTGGGAGGCCCAGCGGAGTGGGGTTACACGCGGATCGCGTCGGGACCTCGCGGCTCCCTGCGGGGGGAGCTGCCAACTGCGCAACTGTCGGCACTTTCGTGGGCTCCTGGGAGGCCCAGCGGAGTGGGGTACACGCGGATCGCGTCGGGACCTCGCGGCTCCCTGCGGGGGGAGCTGCCAACTGCGCAACTGTCGGCACTTTCGTGGGCTCCTGGGAGGCCCAGCGGAGTGGGGTTACACGCGGATCGCGTCGGGACCTCGCGGCTCCCTGCGGGGGGAGCTGGCAACTGCGCAACAGTCGGCACGTTCGTGGGCTCCTGGGAGGCCCAGCGGAGTGGGGGTGACACGCGGATCGCGCCGGGACCTCGCGGCTCCCTGCGGGGGGAGCTGCGATCTTGCGCAACTGTCGGCACTTTCGTGGGCTCCTGGGAGGCCCAGCGAAGTGGGGTTACACGCGGATCGCGTCGGGACCTCGCGGCTCCCTGCGGGGAAGCTGCCAACTGCGCAACTGTCGGCACTTTCGTGGGCTCCTGAGACGCCGAACAATCGTTCCAGGACGTTCAAGGTGGGCCCCAGACGGCCCAAGAGGCTTCCAAGACGCTCCAAGAGGCCTCCAAAAGGTTTCATGGGAGGGCCCCGAGAGGCCAAAACCAAGAATTTTACGATGGTGTTTGAAGGATTTTGGCCTTCTCGTCTTTTCGGCTTTCTGGAGCTACAGGACGGCTCAAGAGGCACCCAATACTGCCCCAAGACGGCCCAAGAGGCTTCCCAGAGGGCCCGAAGATTGCCCAAGACGGCCCAAGACAGCCACTCTAGCGAAGAGTACCGACTATCGGGATTTGCCAGGGATTCCCGAAAGTTGAAGCCGATGGGATTTGTCGGCAATCGCCGCGCTTGACCCTCAAGTGCGGCGATTGCCAAGAATACAATGGTCGTCGCTTTCGTGGGCCTCTTGGACGTCCAGCGGATGTTCAGCTATTTTGAAAGCGCCAGTTGATAATGCCACTTGTTGCCAAAGGGTTGGGTACGTCCCTGGGTAATTTGAATATTTGTTTTAGCAATTTTGGAGTATGTTTGGGATATTTTGTATTTTTCGTCGAAAATCCCACTGTAGGAGGACAGGCCCGACTGAACACCGGCGCGCTGGCGCCAGGTGGTGGCTCCCTACGGTCGGGACCCCGTAGTCGGTGCCCGATGCTTGTTGCACGCCACGCCACACACTGCACCTACGCTGTGTGTTCCTCGCAGGCTGCACCTCGCACACCCAGCTCCATATATGGTCAGGAGGGGAAAAAAACACACACAGACACAATTAATCGTCGATTCCCAGAACAAAATGGGAAACTATGGGAAGTGGGGTGTAAAACGAAAACCCAGAAAGTATAAGGGAAATATGGGGAATCCTGACGCGTCGATTAGCGTGTTGGCCGTTTCGTGTTCGCGAGCGGGCGTCGCGGCCGTCACTCGTGCGTGTCCAGGTCCGTCGGTTTCGGCACTGAGCCGTTTTCGCTAAAGGGTGGTCTACTACTCAAGCAGTGGCGAAGCGTCCTGTCTCGCCTATAGCCCTACCAAAGAATGTTCTGAGAACCTTTTGTGGTTCCCGCGACATGCTCTTAGAATATTCCTGGATGGGAGACTGGCCTGTTTTCTCACATCGGGTTCCTGCTCTGAGAACATTGCTTTTGCCCTTGGACCATTCTTGGGTTCTGAGAACACTTCGTGGTAGGACTGCAGGAACGCCCGGACGGTCGGCCCCTGCTCAGACTGCAGGGAGGCTTGTCCACCGCCGGCAGAGCAGCCTCCCGTACTCCTTGGGCGCCGCGTAATGGGGGGGTCATAAATGGGGGGGTGGCGAGGGTGGTTCGAAAAGGTACCCAAACGGTACCTAAACGAGCCCCCTGGGGCTCTGGAGGGGCCCGAGAGGGTCACGAAAGGGGACCGTTTCTGACCCCCCCATTAATGACCCCCCCCCGGTAAGCCACGCCCAAACTCCCGTGCTTGTCGACAGTGACGCGTCGATTAGCGAATTGTCCGTTCTCGGTTCTCGAGAAGGCGCCGTGGCCGTTATTTTCCAGGCTTGCGCTCGCCAGGTTTGGGCCTCAGGTCATTTTCACTAAACCACGTTTTACTAAAGGGGGGTCTGTCCATCCTCGACCGTGCTTGCCGTGGCACCCGCCCTCCCCCTCCCCCTCTCGGCTCTGCGCGCCGGCGCGCGCCCCACCGGCGGCTCCGCGCCGCCCGCAGGCCTGCCCTCTCTCTTCCTCGCGTCGGGCGCGTCTCTCTGCAGGCGGACCTCTTCAAGAGCAGTCACACCTCAGGAAGGGGACGATTGCTCGATTAACATACGTATAATACATATATACATATATACACATATTTTTGTGTATATATATATATATATGTAAGTCTATAAGTGCATTTATTTATTGATGGTCGTATGTATATATGTCTATGTATTGCCTGGACCATTCTACAGCTTTTTTCCAACATCCGCCCGCAGGAGGACACGCCCGACCTGAGCCTGCCCTCTCTCCCCGCCGCCCGCGGCCCGCGATGGCCGCCCAGAGCAGGCTCCCCGGCGGCAGCGCGCCTCGCCACGGTCGGCCAGGTGCCGCCGGCCCGGCATCGGAGAAGAGACCACGGCGTAGACCTCGGGGGCGGAAAAGAGGGGGGGTGATGACTAGGGGGGGGGATATCATGGCGGAGGCCATGATATTTCCCCTCGGGGGCGCCTCGCGTGCGCGCCGGGCGCGCGGGCGCGTGTCAGCCGCTGCCTCGCCCGGCTTCTGCGCCGCGTGCGTTTTCGTTGGCAGGTTTCCCTCGGGGGCGGCGAGAGGGGGGTTGATGACTACTAGGGGGGGGGATCAGGGCGGGGGCCATGATTTTTTGCCCCAGATTTCGTGGCGCCCCTTCTTACTTCATTACGTAAGTGGCCCCCCCCGCTGGGCCGCGCACATGCCGCCGGTCATGAGATTTGCACCCCCCCCCTCTTGGACACCCCCCCGTCTTGGCCGCTCCCGAAGACATGAATGTTTGGCGCTTCGCGCGAATGTCTTGGATCTGCGCTGGGGCCCCCCTGGCGGCGTCTCCGGCGCCGCCCCTGGCGCGCCCCGCGCGCCAGGGAGGGGAGCCCAGCGCAGATCCAAGAAATCCGCGCGGAGCGCCAGAAGTGTATGCTTGAGGCAGGTTTTCTTTTCCTACAGGAACAGGGTCGGAGGAGGGAAAGGTACCGATACCGCTCGAGCGAGGTGTGGATCAAGGGTTCGAGTTTTTCAAGAGATTCGGGAGTGTCCGTTGGTTCTCGGCGGCTTTTTCCAGCCTCGAGATGCTTGTTCCAGCGGCTGCGCCGCGCCAATAGATTTGTGCCCAGATCGTCCAGAACGCCCGCCGGAGGCACGAGTTATGATCCGAAAACCACCACGTCAGAGGAGGAATCGGTACCGATGCCGTTGCCCTTGCCTCGTTTCCGCATTGTTGGGGTTCCCTGGAGGCCCTCGTCGACTCCGCCAGCCTCGCGTCGAGATTCTTGTCAGAACTCAGGAGTCCAGGCCCAGACGGTGTCCGAGTAGACGGCGTCGGAGGATCGCGCGGCATCGCCGATGCATCGGCGATGCGGCTTGATGGGGAGCCCCATCTTCTCCACGCCCAGGGCGCTGGGGCGCCGCCGACGTCGCTGATGCATCGCCGATGCGGATGCGGCGCTTCCTGACCCAAGCTGCTTCGACCGCATCTGGGAGGCCTCTAAGAAAGGCAACCCGGGGGAAGTCCAGGGAGTAGCGGTATGGGCATTGGAGAAGGAGCCCTTACATAAGGAATCCAGGGTCTGGAAGCCAGTGGAACTTCAATCGTGGATCGGCCATAGATATCACCGCCGCCCTCATTGGATAAGGCATCCGCCAGGGTCTGGCGCCCTCTGGGACGATCCCTCAACGAACGCCTCCACCGTAGCGGTATGGGTATCTTTAGTTGCTCCCAGATCCAAGCCTCAGGGTTGCAGCAGTTGGGGGACCGGAGCACCGCGCCGTCGGCGGCGGCGCGGCGCAGTCCGCGATCCGGCGCATGGCCGATGCAGCAGTGATGCGGCGCGGCCCTCCGACCGCGTCTGTCCTGGCCCCGTGAGATTGATTTGTTGTGCTGGGGCCTCCTCCTCCTCCTCCTCCTCCTCCTCCTCCTCCTCCTCCTCCTCCCCCTCCTCCTCCTCCTCCCTCTTCCTTCTCCTCCTCCCCCTCCTCCTCCTTCTCCTCCCCCTCCTTCTCCTCCCCCTCCTCCTCCTCCTCCTCCTCCTCCTCCTCCTCCTCCTCCTCCTCCTACCCATCCCCCCCGAGGGTCGGGCTCCGCTCGTAGGTAATTATGAGGGGGACTCGTAACCTCCCCCCCGATGCCGGTCTCCGCGCCTCGCACCTCCGCCCCGGCGTGCCCTGCCCCGCCCGGGCGTCGCCGATGACCGAGCCGAGCCCCCCCGAGGCCCCCAGGGTAACTCGGGTCGGGCGAAAGGGGGGGATAGGGAAAGGGGGGGTTACGAAATTTGCTGCATGCAGCTGGTTTCGGCCTCACCGAGGGGCCCATTCCTCGATACATGGCCGCCTCCGGCGCCGGGAGGCGCCGGGAAAATCAGCTACGTGAGCTGATTCTCAAACCCCCCCTTTGCTTTCCCCCCCTTTCGCCCGACCCGAGTAACGACCGACCGCCACCCCGAAGTATGGATCACGCTGCCGACGCGACGCAACGCGTGGCCAGGAGCAGCGCACAGAGCTTGTTCGGGACAGCATCGTGGTCTGGACTTCTGTCTGTTGCGAACGCTGCTTGGGAGGTTCGCGAGCTGTGCGATTCGCGGGGCGCTGATCGATGGACAAGGGTTTGATGGAAGTAGTTCGTCATGTCCGCGGCGAAGACGAGAAGGGCAGAGGAAGGCGAGGGACGATGCTTCGAGGCATGCGAGCAATCAGTTGCAGTCAGTGCAGGAACCGCGCGAGGCCGAGTTGCACTGCCTGCTGCCCGGCCCTGATCCCGAAATGCTCCAACGAAGGAGATAAATGCGCGCAGGTGCGCCGCGAGAAAAGACTTGCAACATCGTGTCCCATATCATCATATCGCCATGGGAAACATCACGTAGAGACATAACCGCCGCCTGGCCAGGTCGTCGTCGTGATTGCACCCCGCGGCGATGATGGCTCCGTCGCGCATACGTATCGCGCCAGTGCGCTGGGCCCCCTGGTAGCCGTCGAAAACGGCGGCAGTTTCGCACATCGCAGCACCCCAGTGAATGACGAATGCGAAGCGGAGTCTGCGACGAAGGCGTCACTCCGTTGGCCGCCCCAACACTGTCCCGAAATGGCGACAGTTTCACAAGTCGCAGTCCCACCCAAAAGATGTCGAGGTCTAGCGTCGATCTGCGCTCGGCACCCACAACGATGGCCCTCCCAACATCCTTCGAATGTGATGACGGTTTCGCAAATCGCGGTCCCCTGGGGACGGCGAGGGCTAGCCGGATGCTACGCTCAGCACCCGCCGCGCTGGCCCTCCCAGCAACCCTCTGACTTGCAACAGTTCCGCAATCCCCCCCCAGGCCAGGTCAAATTTGGATTTGCGCTCGGCACCCACAGCGCTGGCCATCCCAGCGGCCTTCGGAAATGTCGACGGTTTTGCAGACCGCAGCCCCCCTGGAACCACGTGAATCTGCGTTCGGTATCTACCACGCTTGCTTTCCGAATCGCTTTCGGAAGCGTTTACTGATTTGCAGACTGCCTTCGCCCAAATATGGCGAGGTCGAATCTGAATCAGCGCTCGGTAACCACTACGTGTGCCTTTTCCGGAAAAAGAACTTTCTGAGTCAGCGCGCAGCTTCTCAAGGGTGGGGACGTCAAGCCAGAGCGCGATTTCGGTACTGGCTACGGTGGTTTTCCCAACAGCTTTCGAAAGTGGCGACGGCTCGCAGATCGCAGACCCCCCCCCAGGACGGCGTGGTCTACCATGAAGGTGCGTTCGGAACCCACCACGGTGCCCTTCTCAGCACCCTCCGAACGTGGCGACCGTTGGGCCGATCACCCCCCCCCCAAATGACGGCGAGGTGTAACTTGCATGTGCGTTCAGTTTGCACCACGCTTGAATTTCCAGCAACCCTCGAACAAATATGCGGCAGTTCCGCAAGTAGCATTCGCCCAATAATGGCTATCTCTAGTGTGAACTTGCGTTCGTCACCAACTGTGCTGACCCTCCCAACAACGTGTGACAACTAAGGACAGTTTTGCAGATTGCAGCCCCTAATGATGGGAAGTTCGATATGAGTCAACGCTCGGTACCCACAACGCTGGCCACTCCGACAATGGCGACGGTAATGCCGGCCGCAGTCTCCAGGGATGGCGTGGTCTAGTTTGAACGTGCGTTCGGTACCCATTACGATGGCTCTCCCAGCAGCCTTCGACAGTGGTGGCGCTTTCATTGTACGCACCATCCCCCAGGGATGCAGACAAGACAATTTCGAAAACCCTGCACATGAGGTTTGGCAGCGATCTCGATCCGGGTACCGCCAGCCAGGGGATGTGCGGGTCAGGATCAGAAGCGAGCGTTTGGTCAGCGTTCGGTCCGGCCGAGTCATTCAAGGCAGCGCTGGCCTGGTTGTGTTGTTCCATATCGGGTGAGTGGGCGATGAGAAGGAGCCAAGAGCCAAGAACCAGTGGGTCATGTGTTCGAGGCGCTTGCCACTCTGTTGCACGGAAGGTCGCAGGGCGTCTTCCGGGCGCCAGTATGTTCGTCGTTGCGCAGGCTTGGCGGTGGGGAGCACGGCCGCCGCCATTCACGACCAAGGGTTCTTTCCATCTGCACGCGCGACGCCGAAGAAGTTGGGCGGCGAAGGGGGGTGGTTCGAACGGGCTGGCGGGGAGGCAAACCGATGGATTTCGAGTAGGGGATCGACTATTGAATGTTTTACCCCAAAATTGGTTCGTTTGACGAATCTTCGAACAATGCGTAACATAGTCCGTAGATCTACAGGGCATTCTAAGGATTTCCCGTTTGCTCGACGGACAAGTCAATCCTGGAGTAAATCAGTTCTGTAGTCGATGTCCTACTCGAAGATTGGGGCGTGAACGGGCACGGGCGAGGACGGCTTGACGGGCACCCCGCAGAGGCTCGGAGGGCCCGGCTTTGACGCACCACGGGGGTGTTCTCGCAAATCCGAGGCGGCGAGCGGGGGCCCGAGATGTCGCCCAGCGCGGAGCGGTGCTGACGGCACCTGGGCAGGGGAGCGTGTCACGGGCCGTCGGGGGGTGGGGGGGAAGAAAAATGAATTAGACGCTCGCTTGGGGGGACCTTCCTGCTGCCCACCCAGCGGATCTGCTCGGCTCTGCTACTTCGACCCCGGATTCGCTCGAGTTCGACTCGGCTTCGAGTCGAGGCCGGCTCGCATCGACGGACGTTCGGCGCAGCCTCGACGCATGAGCTGAGCGAGCGGCTCCAGGAAGGTCCCCAGAATGAGTACAGGCAACGCGCCTAGTAAGGACGCGCGCCTTCACCTAGGATACCTTTGCGTCCTTGCCTCTGCGGCCCGTCCTTTGCCGTTTTCACTGGTCGCCGCCGCCCAACAAATCCCAACTTCAGCCTCCAAGGTCTTGCGTCCTGACACCCGTCCTTAATACATATACGTTTTGACTGTAGCCCAGGCCGGAGGGCCGCGGGGGCGACCTGCCCACCCCGCCGACGCCCGCGGCCCCCGCTTTTTTTTGCAGGCCGCCCTCTCGCGGAGCTTGCGGCGCGCCCTGCCCCCGTGAGCGGGGCTCGGCAGGGCGGTGCCGCTTCCCAGTCCAGGGCCTAGACTTCAGGAGGGAAAAAACACACAGACACAATCAATCGTCGATCCCCAGGAACATATGGGAAACTATGGGAAGTGGGGGGAAGACGAATACTATAAGAAAATATGGAAACATATGGGGACTCCTTTTATTTGTGTGTATTTATTTTTGTGTGTGTGTGTGTGTGTGTGTCCCAGGGCCCCTTTAAGACTGCTGGCCACCCTTGTCGGAAACTGGAACATAGGGGCGGGTTGTGTTTTCAATCCCCAGACTTTCGAGGGTCGGGGACGACGTCGGAGTGGTACGGTGTATACGTTTCCCATGTTTTCCAAGGGAAATGTCGAAACTGTATACACCAGCATCCCGTATACACCAGGATCCGCTTTCTCGTACGAGTTTCAGTGCAGGGCCGGAAAATGCGTCGGGTTCTCTTGGACCACTGCGGCGGTCTTGGAGGCCATCTGGGCGCCACCTTGGGCTCTCTCTCTCTCTCTCTCTGTCGGGTCCACCTCACCCGTCTTGCGGGCCGTCCTGGCCGTATTGGAGGCCATATCTTGAGGCCGTCTTGAGCGGGAAAGCAGGCGGAAGTGCGCGGGCAGGAGTTCTCTGAGTGTTTGGCAGACTGGGGCCCCAGTGGGGGTTCTTTAGAAAAGGACCGACACCCCAGTCGCTTGGTCCAAGACGGTCCCCAAAGGACCCCAAGACGGCCCTTGATGTCTCCAAGGCGCTCGATATTGCCTTCAAGACGACCCTGATGCGCCCCAAGAGGGTCTAAGAGGGTCCCAAGACCGCCCAGAGAGGCTCCCAAGACGGCTTCAGGCGGCGTCACACAGACCAGGAAGGCCATAGGACAGCCACTCTAGAGGCCCCCAAGCAGCCCCCAAAGACCCCCAAAAGGCCCAAGGACGCCCCCAAGGGGCCTCCAAGAGGCCCCCAGGAAGCTCCAAGGAGGCCCCAAGAATGACCCAAGAAGATCGAAGAGGTCTCCCCATCCTTCTCCTCATCTTCTCTTCATCTTCCTTTGTTCCTCCCTATCATCATCCTCTTCCTCGCCCACGCGTTCCCCGAAGGACTTCCATAAGGGCTGGGAGACCACCTGGTCCAACAGCGTGGCCAAATGTGGCACGAACGCTTGGCCACATAGGTGCATCCTAGACGGCAGGTGGGCATCGGCGATTCGCCGCAGGCGCCTTCGATCCGCCGCCCCCGTTGGTCATGCCACAGGGGTGCACGGCGTGCTGGGGCCGCTTGGCCGTCCTACGGCGTTCCTGGCCTGTCTGACGCCGTCGGAAGCCGTCTTGAGAGTCTCCGGGCCGCCTTGGGGCCCTGTGGGGTGCGTCAGGGTCGTTTTGAAGGCTATCTTGGACGTCTTGAGGTGTTTTGGGCCTCGTCTGGGACTTCTTGGGCCGTAGTGGGGCCATCCTGGAGGCCTCTTCGGCGATATTTGGGCAATATTGGGGGCCTCTTGGGCCGTCTTGGGCTTTCGGAAGGCCGTTTTGAAGCAGAAGCCAAATTTCTTCAATCACCTGGGAAATATCACTGATTTTGGCCTCGTCGGGCTTTCCTGGAGGACCTCTTGGAGGCCTCTTGGGTGGTCTTCAGGGCCTCTTAAGCGCTTCTGGATTTGCTTGAGCTGTCTTGGACCATCTTGGCGATCTTGGTGGTATCTCGGGAACGTCTTGGAGGTTATCTTGAGTCTATATTTGGCTCTCCTTGGACCTTCTTGGTCGTCTTGGAGGCGTCTTGGGACCATCTTTGAGGCCATCTTGGGCCATCTGATCCGTGATGGAGGCGATGTGACCAACGAGGGGGAGATTTTGAAGAGCTTTCGGGTTGGCCGGCGGGCTGGGCCGAAACCCCACAGGGAGCGACAAAATAACCAAACATCATACAAGATCCGCCGCCCCCTGTGGCTTGCCACAGGGGTGCACATCCTTCGGAATGTTTAGTGACCTCCCAGTGGGGTAGCGCCGAATGGGGCGCGGCGCTGTCATGCGAGTGCTGCCACTGGTGCCTCTCGGTGGAGCTCCCTACAGGGCCACGAAGCGTGTGCGGGGGGTGCCTGAACGGGTGCGGCGGTGCCATGCGTGCGTTGCCACTGGTGCCTGCGGTGGAGCTCCCTCTGTGGCCACGAAACGTGTGATGGGTGTGCCGAAACGGGAGCGGCTGTGCCATGCGGACGGTGTGTCTAGGGCTTCCGGTGGAGCTTACGGGGCGGGTGCCGACGTGGGTGCGGCGCTTCGGGTGCTGCCACTGGTGCCTTCGGTGGAGCTCCCTGTGGGGCCACGCAACGTGTGAGGTGTGTCCCGAGATGGCCATGCGGCGGGCTGAGGCAGAGTTCAGACGAGGGGGGAAGGAGGAGAGGAGGAGGAGGAGGAGGAGGCGGAGGAGGAGGAGAGGACGCGGGGTGCTGTCTCTCCTAAACGAAAAGCCAGCACCGCATGATAGTTGGGCACAAGTGTTTGTATGCATCTGTGTTCCGGCGGCCTGAGGTCTGTTCCGGGGCCTCCCGCGGGCTGTGCTTCGGCACAGCTGCGGCCCCTTGGGCTGCTCCTGTGGCCCTCGTGAGGACGTTTTGGGCGCCTCCCGGGGGGCGCTCGGAAGCGCGGGCCCACTGCCTGTCGGAAAGCGCGAAGCGCTTCTGCTGCTTTGTGCTCAGCCCTCCGTTGGGTTGATGTTTTTGGTTTTGAACGGAGCAATGTCTTGGCATCGCTCGGACGTGTGCACTCTTCCATCGGCGAGGACCATCGACGAGCATCCCTGTTCACTCGGCGAAAAAAACACGCACGAAACCGAAAACGGTACAGGGCATGGACGTCCGAGCGATGGCCAGGGAGGGCCTTCCCCGATCCCCTGATCTTGCGACCGCGCACCAGATCCACGTATCCCTAATCCATGTCAGCGTGCGCCCGACGTTGGCCGGCAGCATCGAGACGGGCACGGGAAGAGTGCGTGCAAGAAGGGCAGCAGTCCCTGCTCGTTTTGAACAGGGCTCGCTCTCGGCGTCGCCGCGGACGTTGTCCATGTGAGGCGGAAGGCAGACAGCGCTCTTGCTCGGAGGGCACCAACTATACACCAACACCGATCCTGGCCCAGGATCACCCTGGGCCCAGGATCGGTGTATATGCCTTCTTGCGCAAGGCAGGAGGGCGTATGCACCGATCCTGGGCCCAGGGTTATCCTGGCCAGGATCGGTGTTGGTGTATAGTTGGTGCCTTCCTATTTGAGGCAGAAGGCAGACAGCGCTCTTGCCTCCAGCGTCCACCAGCGTCCACCGGCTCAGAGCTCCGCTCCCCGGCCTCGGCAGGCAGGGGCCACGCGCCTCGAGGGCCCCGCGCCCCCCCCCCCGCGCAGGCCCCAGAGGCCCCCGCCCACGGCGGAGCCGCTCGCTTGCCTCGCCTCGCCTCCCTCCTCCTCTCCTCTCCTGCTTCTGTCTCTCTCTCTCTCTCTCTCTCTCTCTCTCTCCTGCCCCTCTCTCTCGTGCCCCTCTCCTGCCTCTCTCTTCTCCTCATCCCCTCCTCGCCTCCCCCCTCCTCTCCCTGCCCCCCCCCCCTCTGCTCCTGCCTCGAGCCCTGCCCCTCTCCTGCCCCTCCTCCTGCCCCCTCTCCTCCCCCCTCCCTCTCTCCTCCCGTCGTCCCGCCTCCCGTCGCCGCGCCTGCCTCCCACACAGCACTCCCTCCGGCCGCCAGGGCCCCTGCGGCGGGCCCTCTGCGCCGCCGCGGCCGGCGCGGCCGCCGGCGCGCTGGGCGGCCTGGGCGGCCGCGGCAGCGCCGCCCAGCGGGCGGACCGCGCAGCGTCGAGCCTGCTCGGGAGCCAAGAGACAGGGGTCAATGCAGACGGGGGTCAGCCAGGGCGCCGGATCCTGCAGGATCCTGCGGAGACCCCCTCTGGCTGACCCGGGTCCGCGAGCCGCTCGTGGCCGCGGGGCGGCCGCGCCTATTGGCTGACCCGGGTTTGCGAAGACCTGCGTTGCAGTTTTTTTTTCCTGCACTGCAGTTTTTGGTTTCTTGCTGACCCGGGTCTGGATTGACCCGGGTCAGAAGATCTCCGACCTACGGCCAAGTCGGGCCTGTCCCTCAACGCATGTTGTGCTCCCAGGCCTCTGTGAGTACAGACTAGTGTCCCTGCCACATGTTGCCCTCCCAGGCCTCTGTGGTGTCTACTCGTTTTTTGCGCTCAGGCGCGAGGGACCCCGTGGCGTATGCTTACCCCTCATCGCCCCCCCTTCTCGGGCCGGACGAAAGGGGGGGATTGGGAAAGGGGGGGTCACGAAATGTGCTGCATGCAGCTGGTTTCGGCCTCACCGAGGCGCCCCTTCCTCGATACATGGCCGCCTCCGGGCGCCGGGAGGCGCTGGGAAAATCAGCTGCGTGGGCTGATTCTCACCCCCCCCGTTGCTATCCCCTCCTTTCGCCCGGCCCGACTGTCCCTCGACAGGAGGAGTATTCAGAAGTAGTAGAAAGTATAGTCTGGGGACGATTTTTTGTGCAATACTAGTTTTCTGCAAGTTTGTGTCTTCTCAAGCCTCGCAGGCTGCCCACGACGCCCCCCTCGCCCCCTCGCTCGTATCCGCGGCTGCGGGGGCTGCGATGCTGCCTCGCCCAGTCGTCCTGTCCCTGCCCCCTGCTGCCCATCGTCGGAGACAGGAACATTTACATCACCAGTGGCGGGCTGGTGTTCAACCCCAGGACTTCGTGAGGGTCGTTGGCGACGTCGGGGTGGTGTGGTGTATACATCTTTTCTACGCTTTCCGGGGAAACGCCGAAAAACGCATACCCCGGATCCCGCATGCACCAGGATCCGCTTTCCAGTGCAGATTTCAGTGCAGGGCCGGAACAAGCGTCGGGCTTCCATGCATCCCGCGCCCGAGCCAAGGCCTCGGCGGCAGCTTCGTCACCGCGCCGGCCGCCGCACCATTAAGGGTGCGCGGGTGTCAGCACGAACGAAATGGGTACGGAAAGAATGGGTACAATGCCCAACAGCAGTTCCTGTTAATTTTGAGCAGGACTCGCTGTCGGTGTCGCCGCGGCCTGGTACCCTTGAGACAGAATGCCGCCTGCCCAACAGCGGCCGCTGCTGGTTTGGGACATCATTTGTTCTTGGGCAATGTGCAGTGCCGTTTTTAGTACATGCTCCGCGTGCGGATCATGTATTAAACATGCAGGGACTTAGTATTGAAAACAGCGATGAGTTCATGCATACATTGATGTATAAATGAATCATGTATTAAAAATCCTATATCTTTAAACATCCGATGTATTAAAAACTGCCCTGTAGCCACTCTTTCCGTACGCATTTCGGGCGTCCAGAGGGTGGTGCTGCAAGTCAGGGCCGGCGTGCGCGGAGCCCCTGCGCAGGGAGGGGGGCACCCGCGAGTCGAGGGAAGAGACACGGAGACCATGATGTCGGCAGGAGGAGGAGGAAGAGAAGGAGAAGGAGGAGCAGGAGGAGGAGAAGGAGGAGGAGGAGGAGGAGGAGGGGGACGAGGACGAGGACGAGGACGAGGAGGAGGAGCCGTCTTCAGAGCGCATTCGCGTGCAGTAGCATCTGGCCATCGATGAGAGCGCGCTGGTTTGGCGGCGATGTGCATCGATTTCGCGTCGATCAGCGTGGATGTCGCGTCGATGAACGCGGATTCGCAAGAGCCAGCAAGATGACATGGAGGGCTCCCATGCGCTGCCACTGGACATGACAAGGATGTCGTGGGATCTTGCCGACGCCAATCTTGGTCATGGTCTATTCTAGCCGTCGCCGATTCGCGAGGGATATCCACAAACTGACGGTGACCACGATGGACGATGACAAGACACCAAGAAGCGTGGTCGTGGTCATCGTGTTGTCTCCCTCCCATGATTGAGGTGAGTCGAGAGATGGGCCGATTTGATATCGAAAAACGTATGGGAGGCACAGTCGTACAGGATAATCTCAGGAGGCGAAACGACACACGGTCACGATGAATCGCCGATCCCCAGAAAATATGGGAAAATATGAGAGTGGGGGGGAAGACGAACATCCAGAACAGATCTAAAACAATCTGGGGACTCCTGGGATTGGTGTCTACCTATTTGTGTGTCCCAGGGCCCCTTCAGAATCGCGCGAGGGAAGAAGCCCCTCCTGGGCCCCAGCTGCGCCAGGGTGCGCGAGGAGCGCCGGGGGAAGACCCCTGGAAGGGCCTGAGGCACGGCGGGGAGGCCCTTTCGGAGCCGAGGCGGCGACTGCACGACTCGAACGGGGCTCGATGCCCGGCCCCCTCGGCACGCGCCACGGAATTCCGTCGCGGTCGCCGGATGGCTCGCGCGGCGGAGGCTGACGCAGCTTGCGGGGACCAGAGATGTGCAGAGCAGTACCCTCGCCACGGAGGGCGGGAACGGGCTCCGGTGCTGCCGCCCTTAGCTGTATCCGGCGCAGGTGTCGTGCGGGTCCTTGGACTCGTGGTTTCCCCGTAGCCTTGGCAGTGCTTCAAAGACGTCGTCACATAGTGAGCAGCTATCCCAAACTCAAGCACGTAACAGATGATGGCCAGCGCTGTTCTGACCAGCAGGAGCTCAAGGGCCGCCTGCGCCACTCCCAGGGGCCGTGTCCTGGTGCACCAGTGGGGAGGGGAAGGCCTTTTGAGACGCCTCTGCCTCAGACCTCAGATCTCTCGTGCTCCCGCTCCTGCAGGCCTGCTCCCGAGGCGTGATGGTGACGCTAGATGGGGCGACACTGCGCGCACCCGTTGTGCCTTGTCGGCTTTGCCTCCTGAGCCGACCTCCTCCTTTGCTACAGTGGGCTCGCGCCGTGTCGACCGGCCGCGACCCCGCCGTCGGCGTTCAGTGTTGAACGCCGGCGGCGGCCCAGAAGCTAACGGTGTTAAACGAGTTGACGCTTCTGAAGCGGCCGATCGTCCAAGGTTGAACGATCATTGCGGTCGGAAGTTCAGAAGCCAACGCCGAAGTCGGCACGATGCGAACCTGCCGTAGAGCCGCAATGACATCCCCCGCCCCCGCTCACCCACGACAGCCTTGACGCGCTGTGGTTGCAGCGTCACAAAAGTACCTTGCGACGCGTCACAAAGCACACGGACACGCAAACGCAAACGCACACGCACACACACACACACACACTCACACACACACACACTCACACACGCGCACACGCACATGCACACGCACACGCACACGCACACGACCACGCCCACGCCCACTCACACGCACACGCCCACGCCCACGCCCACGCCCACGCCCACGCCCCCCCGCCCACGCCCACACCCCCACGCCCACGCCCTCACGCCCTCATGCCCTCACACCCTCACGCCCTCACGCCCCTCACGTCCACGCCCACCTTCACACCCTCACGCCCACGCCCACGCCGACGCCCACACCCACGCCCACTCCCACGCCCACGCCCACGCCCACCCCCGCCCCCACACCCACACCCACACCCACACCCACCCACACCACACGCACACGCACACATACACACACACACACACACACACACACGCACACACGCACACTCGCACACACGCACACACACGCACACACGCACACGCACACGCATTTGCACACCCACACGCACACGCACACGCACACGCACACACCACACACCCACACCCACACCCACACCAACACACCACACACACACACACACACACACGCACACACACACACGCACACACACACACACACAAAAAAAACACGCCCGCCCACCCACCCACCCCACCTACCCACCCACCCAACCCAACCCCACACACCCACATCCACACCCACACCCAAACCCACCCACTCACCCACCTACCAACCCCACACCCCCGCATCCGCACCCATACCCATTCACCCCCACCCCCTCCCCACCTCCTCCCCCCCACCCACACACACACATTCATACACAAACACACACACACGCACACACGCACACACAAGCACACACGCACACACACACACACACACACGCACACACACACACACACGCACACACGCACACACGCACACGCACCCGCACACGCCCATGCACACGCACACGCACACGCACACGCACACACACACACACACACACGCACACGCCCACGCCCATGCACACGCACACGCACACGCACACGCACCCTTACACACACACTCTCACACGCTCTCTCTCTCTCACACACACACGCGCGCGCGCACGCACGCACGCACGCGCGCGCGCGCGCCGCGCGCCAGGGAGGGGCATCTAGCGCGAATCCAAGAAATCCTGGCGGAGCGCCAGAAGTTGATGTGTAAGTTTTTTTTTCTAATTGAGTACATGGAGTCACTGCCTCAAGCGTCGGCCTGGCACTCCTCTTCCGCAGTCGTCGCGGGGGTGGTGATGCTGCTGATGCACGCCGCCCTGCCCTACTTTCAGAAGGGATGGGGTGGCATCTCCGCCGCGGTCGGGCACATCTCGCTCGTGGTCTCCGTGACGCTCAGGGAAAAGAGGGTAACTCGTTATTGAAGCGGCCACGTCGGATAGCCGATAGCCTACGCTAGTGGTCGTTGTTTTATTCGTTGTTTTGCCGATCGGCGCAGACCCTCGCACCTTGGCTGTTGTTGGCGCCTGTTTCGAGCAGGTGGAGCCTCCCCTGTAATGGACGCACTGATGCAAACAGTCGCACTAAGCAGAGGTCTGGAGCCAGACCCCCCCTCCCCCCCCTTCCGCCCAATGTCGAAACGCCGAATCAGAAAACGCTTACACAGCCCGTTCCTCCTCATTGACCCCTATCTCTGCTCTCTGTTTTGTTTCGGAGCAGCCTGGACCGTGCGCGTGCGCGGAGAGAGGCAAGGCAGAGCAACCAGGAAAATGACAGTACGTGCATCGACCCTCATGAAGAGTGTCGATACACTCCCTGGGGGGAATCACAAGGTACCGATACTGCTACTCCCCGGACCTCTCCCGAGGTGCGTTCGAACCAGGATTTCGAGGCGAATCCAACGGTGTCGACGAGGGCCTTCCAGGAGGCCCCACAAGGGGAAACAGGACGAAGGGTAGTAGTATGCGCATTTGTTTGAAGAAGAAGGCGCCATGAAACATAAACTTTAGGCGCTCTGTGCGGATTTCCTGGATCCGCGCTGGGTCCCCCCTGGCGGCGCCTCCGTCGCCGCCCTTGGCGCGCTCCGCGCGCCAGGGAGGGGGGGGGACAGTGCAGATCCAAGAGATCCGCGCGGAGCGCCACAAGTTTATATTCATGCCGCTTTTTCTCCTTCCATGCTCCTCCTCTGGAGCACGCGTATCTCCCTCTGGCAGTACCGTCTGACCGAACCCTATCCCCATGCTCATCCCCTTCGGGACCCACACCCCTCGAAATCCGAAGGGAACGGCCTACATCCCCATCTGGGGGGGCACATCGGCCAGTGGGGCCCCAGGCCACGCCGCTGGGGATGGGGATCGTTGAAACGATGCTCATACTGAGGCCACCTTCGGGCCAGATTGAGGCCATCTTTTTCAGAGAAGTCGGGCGTTTCCCTCTCTTCATGCGAAAATTTCAAACATAGTACAAAGTAGTGGGGATCGGTGAAACGATGCTCAGTACCTGCTCCTCGCTCTCCCCCTTATTTTTTAGGGATTCCCTTTTTTTTGAGGGCGGATCCCTAAGATTGTCATCGCTTTTTGGCGTGTCAATCTTAGGGGTAGGGTGATTTCGAGGCTGGTAACCTCGCTCTCCCCTCGGCGAGGGGTCCCGCGCGCGGGGCCCCGCCGCCGAGCCCTCGCCGAGGCGCGCGCCCGCCCCCCTCGGCCCCAGGGAGCGGGGAAGGAGGAGGAGGCGGAGGAGGAGGAGGAGGAGGAGGAGGAGGAGGAGGGGGGAGAGGGGGCGGCGACCGCCCCTGGCGGGCCGCAGGGGCGCCAAGGTTCCAGTGGAAACCCATGCCCAGACGCGCGCTGCCCTCCTCCTCGCCCTCCTCCTCCTCCTCCTCCTCCTCATCATCATCATCCTCCTTCTCCATCCTCCTCCTTCTCCTCCTCCTCCTCCTCCTCCTTCTCTCTCCTCTCTCCCCTCTCTCTCTCCTCCTCCTCTCTCCTCCTCCTCTCCTCTCCTCCTCCTCCTCCTTCTTCTCCTCCTCCTCCTCCTCCTCATTCTCCCTTCTCCTCCTCCTCCTCCTCCTCCTCCTCTCCTCCTCCTTCTCCCTCCTCCTCTCCCCTCCTCTATCCTCCTCCTCCTCCTCCTCCTCCTCCTCCTCCCCCTCCTCTTTCCTCCTCATCCTTTCCTCCTCATCCTCCCCCTCTTCCTCCTCCTCCTCCTCCCCCTCTTCCTCCTCCTCCTCCTCCTCCTCCTCCTCTCTTTCGCCCATGCCCAGAAACGCCCCGGCCCCGTGCCTCCAGGGTGCCCTGGGCCTCTTGGGTTTCGACGGTTCTGCGGTGGAAGGCGTGCCGTTCCCACACCAACAAAAAAACAGTGGCGCCCTGGGGTCTCAGGGTTGACCTTGTTGTGGCAGGTCTCTTGTGGTCGGACTCCTACAGTAATCGCCCCTCGCGGCCGGGACGAAAGGGTAGGACAGGGCAAGGAAGGGAGGGGGGTACGATGTCTGCGGCATGCAGCTGGTTTCGGCCGCGCCGCTGGACCCAGTCCTCGACACACGGGCGCCTCCCCGCGCCAGGAGGCGCCAAGAGAGCCGGCGGCCGATGCTCTGCCCCGCCTCTGCCGTCCTGCCCTGGCCCCATTCGCCGCCCGCGCGCGCCCGCCGAAGGTGCGCGTGGAGATGCAGGCGGTGGCGCCCCAGATGGCCGAGGGAGGCCCGCGGCAGCCGTCGCCGCCGCCGCCGCCGCCGTCGCCGTTTCCGCGCGAACGTTCGAGGTACCGTGCCGTTTTTAATGCATGCTCCGCGTGCGGATCATGTATAAAACAATGCAGGGATTTAGTATTAAAAACAACGACGAGTTCTTGCATTAATTTATTCATAAATTAGTCATGTATTACAAATCCTACATTTTTAAAAATCCTATGTATTAAAAAGCTGCCCTGTACTGGGCCCAACCTGGGCCACTGGCGGCGCGGCCCCGCAGCGCCAAAAGATTCGTCGCCGACCCCAGCAGCGACTGCACACTGCCTCAGCTGCTCCTGACGGCCACCGGCAGCGACGACCCAGGGCTGATCGGCAGCACTATTCCCAAGTGCCGTCCTATTGACGACCGGTTTGGCACTGGCGCCATCGAGTCCGGGTCCTACTCCGCCATTTGCGACAGCTGCAGCGGAGATTCAGTCAATTACACGTGGGCACCAGGCCACCCGCCCGGGTGCTTTGTCTGGAGGCCCAGCTCCGGCCTGGGATGTGACGACCGATGCGGCGTCCCCGAGTGGGCCGCTGGGTGGAGTGCTGGGAAGGCGCCTCCTGGAATGCTGCCTGGTACTGCCACATCAGCCTTGTGCACATCTGGGACATCGCGCCCAGCGTCGTCAAGGTCATTCTGGACAGGGATTTTGTCCGCATGCACCCTTCCTCACCAACGAAGAAACCCCCCAGGCCTAGACCTACCGCCGACGACGGCCTGCGGGGCGAGCTCGGCCACCCGTGGACTGTGGCCAGGCAGGACGGCGTGACGCCACCCCTGTTTCGCCGCCCCGACCGTTCAGACACCAGTCGGCGCGAACCGTGCCGCGTTTCCCCCCACCCGCGCGCCCTCCCCGTGAGTCACCGTGATGTCGAGACCTACCTTGCAGCAGCGGACGACCAACGTGGGACGGAAACGGCCTTTCCCCTGGCGCTGGCAAGGCACGTCCACTGTTTGGACCCAGCCTCCGACGACGCTTGGATCGCCCTCGCCTCCCAGGAGGGCCCCAAACCGGACGACTGGAGCGACAACGCTTGGGGACACAAATTGGCCTGCACCTACATCCGTTCGCTCTACACCAGCACACTTACCGACGACGGAGTCCCGCCCGGCATCACTTGCAAGCCTCGAGCCAGACTTGCTAACGGACGACGTCCTGTCGGACGGGGAGATAGGAGGAAACGACACAGACCCAGCAGCAGCGTCGTCCGGCGCGGCCACGCCCGCGCAGGCAGCTCGCCCCCCCACCCAGCGCGCAGGCCGGAGCAGAAGAGGGGGAGATCATGGACACATCAATTGGCGACTTCCATCGTCCCAGCCCCGGGGGAAGACGGAACGTTTGGCCAGGCTCCAGACCCAGACCCGGATTGGACTTGAGGGTTGGAAGCCGAGGCACCGCAGACGAGCCCAGAACCCCCAGCGGACGACGACCCCATCCCTTCACCGACCGACGAGGAGGCCAGCTCCAACTCCCATCCACGCACCGTGACCCTCCGCGCTGCCGCGCCAGCCAACAGCGACCGCGACAACGCTGACAAACGGAGGCCGCTAGCACCCCCCGACTTCTGGGCGAAAGAATTGGCAGCAGTGACTCAGCACAGGAGACTTTGGACGCGCGCAGAGGGACACGGAAAGGGGCGCGACCAAGCGTGCAGCCCCTACGACCAGGCCAAGCAGCGCGCGGACCGCGCGCGGAGTCCCAACAGCAGCAGGTGGACCAGCTATGGCTCCATTTGGAATGTCCATGATGACGGGCACGCGTACTCATCCAGCTGTTCAAGCTACAAGCCGCGGGAATATGGGCCCCAGGGATCGGAGCATACAACATATCAGGTGATGCATTCGTTTGACCATTGCGGTTTTTGGAAGCTTACAGGGGGCGCCGGGTTGCAGCCCAGGTGTGCGGTGTTGCATGGTGTTCCACTGTCACGACGTTGGTGCAGAGTGTTTCTGCGACGCTGTCGTCGGCCCCCCCCTCCTCTCCGATTCTCGCAAGTTACTAAGACGTTTCCCCACTAGTGTCAGCATTGGTGCCTGCGGTCCTGCCCCCCTCCTCCAGGCGAAAGTCTCTGTCGATTCCGGAGTTGTTTTGGGGGATTGGCGGATATTTCCCAATGCGTTTTCGATTGGTGCATACTTGTCTGGTGCATTTGCCCTGCAACATGTGGCCAACATATATACATCAATCCGCCAGGGCAAGTTTCGCGCCTCATTGGTGGGTATTTTGAAGGCGGTTTTCCGGCCCGCGCTGTCAGGGCCCGCCCGTCTTTTCAGAGCCGCTTCGCGCGGGGTGCCGTGCCCCGTTGCTTTTCCCGACGTATCTGTAGGATCCCGTACGCAGTGCAGCGCGTTTCGCCTTCGTCCTACCTCGCCTTGCCGTAGACAGCCTGCCCGCACTGGCACCTTAGAATAGTACAAATCCGCATGCATGTGGCGCGGGAATTCTTGCATTGTTCCAGCGAAACGCCTGACCGGATATACTTCACGCTCCCAGGGGATTGGGTCACGCAGCACGCGCTGTCCCCAGTAGCCAAGCTGTTGGCATGTGGGCACGAGGAATCTGGCGCGATTTGGCCGCCAACTCCCACGCATCTGGTTGAGGTACAAGGTGCGGCCGAAAGCAGCCCTCACTTCATCAAAAGGACGCATTCCGAGCTCGGAGCCACATTCAACAGGGGCTGGCGCAGCTGGACCGAGTGCAGAGCAACTCGCCCCGGCCTCGTCCCAAAGGACCCACGCATGCAATCCCGGGCCGCCTGCGACGAATTTCCGGCTGCATGGCGACAGAACTGCTACGACGCCCATGCTTTTAGCCAGCAGCACAGACTTTACACCGACCTCGACCGCGCGCGCCAGGGCCAGGCGACGGGCGACTGGAGCAACGCGGGGCGCCCAGGCACAGGGCTAGACCGCGGCGCCTCCGTGGTTCGAAGCGGCAAGCAGGGCGAGCGCAGCCGCGGCTGGGACGAAACTGCTACGGACAAGAGACACCTTTGGTAGCCACATTCCACCATTTCCATCGCACTTTCCTATTCGCACCCGGCCTCGGGTGGGCTTCTACTCTTGCTACGGTGCGCGGCCCGCCCTAGCACGCTCGGCGTTCGATTCGTCTTCGCGCGCCCGCGGACCAAAAAGTATCCCCAGAAGGCCATCCAATAGCAGACAGACACGGGGCGAGTTGTTCTGATCAGGGATCGACGACGGGCAACCACCCAACCAAAACAGCCACAGGATTCTTGCGTGTCTGATGACTCAGCGGTTGGCTGCTTGTCGTTACATACGGTGCTTGTATTACGTCGTGCGTGCCCGGGGCTGCCTTGGTAGAGTGTTTGCCTGTCGTTGCTTACCGTGCGTGCGTCATTCTGGAGGCGTTTGGGAGGCCTTTTTGGACCATCGTGGGGTCCTCTTGCGGCTATATTGGAGGCCTATTAGAACCTCTTGGTGCGCTCTTGGGGCGCACTTGGGGCTCTCCTGAGGCCCTCTTGGAGGCCTTGAGGGGCCTCTTGGGACAATCTTGGAAACAATCGGTCAAAAGGAGGGGGTTGTACTCAGGTGCTGTCCCCCCGTCGGGGTTCGAACGTCTGTTTCCTGATGCCTTCTTGGGCGCTCTTGGGGGCTTGGGGCGCTTCTGGGGCCGCATTGTGACCATTTCTGAGCTCCTCTGGGGGCCCTCGGTTGGCCATCTTGAGGCCCCGAGGGCCATTCGGAAGCGAAATGGCAAGAACTTAGCAACAATGGCACCAACCCTAGGCGCACACATAGATTTCAACAGGTTCGACCTCCTGGGTGCCTCCTTAGGAGGTTCGGAAGGCACTTGGGGCCGCCCTGGGGCGATCTTCGGGGCTCTTGGAAGCTACCTTGAACCATCTTGGGATGTCCAGAACGGTCTTGGGGGCCATCTTGGGCTCTCTGGGGCCCTCTTGGAGCCACCTGAAATCAAAAACACACCCTTTGACACATCGCGGGGAGAGCGTCACAGTCCCCAGGGGAGGGGGGAGGGAAAGTGGGACCGGGACCACTGACACCCTAAGTCAAAGGAGGAAATTTGCATCCACACCGCAACCCTTGCCTCGGCTTTCTCCCTTCCTGGGCCTATCGGGAGGCCCTCGACGCCACCGCCGGATTCGCGTTGAAATTCGGGTCAGGGCGCACCCAGGGGGAGGTCCGTGGAGTAGCGGGATCGGTACCTGATAGTATCCCCCCACTCGGAGCTCCTTAGACCTCTCACGCTCTAAAGGGCTTCTGGCGCTCACGCTTTCGCATTGCACGTACGCTCCGCCGTGCGTGGTACGAGGCGTCTCGCCCGCCCCGCCGGGTCCAACCGATACTCTTTGCCAGTCGTGTTCCCGTTTCCGTTTCCTCTCTCCCGTCCAATCTCCACCGTCTGCACCCCGTTTGCCCCCTGTGCCCTGTTCTGCCCTCTGCCGTCCGACGTCGACCCCCTCCGCTGCCGGCCTTCTGGGCTCCCGCGCAGCGCATTCACGGCAGGGCACGCGCGGCACGCCGCTGCACCCGGTCGCGAGTCCCCCCCCCCGCGACCCCCGGGGCCTCACGAGCCCGCGCGGCATTCGCCGCCCAGGGGTCCACGGGGGATGCGCCATCACTTCTGCTCCGGCTCCTCCGGGGCGCGGGCGGCAGGGAGCTGCACGGGATCGCGAGCCCCCCCCCATGCCCCCCCCCCCGAGCTCCCAGGGCCTCACAGACGGGAGCCCGCGCGGCACTTGCTGTCCAGGGGATCGCGCCACCTCTTCTGATGTTGCGCTCTTCTCCCGCCGCGTGCTCCACCGTCCAGCAGTCTCGTCCCCGCGGTCCGTTGTGCCCTGGCCTAGCCTGCGAGCTGGACACATGTGCGGCGCCGGCAGGCGCGGCTCATCGGAATCGCGCAGCCCACAGGGTCGTGGAGGCGCTGAAGAGGGATGCGCTCGAGGCCCGCGCATCTTTAGAACCGATGTTCCCCTCTTCCACGCAGCTGGTTGGCACAGGACCTTGCCACTCTTTGTTTTTTTCCACGGCGATGTGCACTTAGCGCTGCGGCGCTACACGCCTACCCCCACAGTGGGGGGCAGCTGTCACTGTAGTGGCGTTCGTTTGCGCCTTGCGCGGTAAGAAGATGGACCAGCGGGACCGAAGCCGAATCGAAGCCGCATAATGAAACCGTGGGGTTCGATGTTGCCTTTCTTATCTTGCCATCTGTTTTTGTCTCCTTCCTACCATCGTTAAAGGGCTTGACTTTCTTCATCGAGCAGGGGCTAATTCAATGTGTCGATCGTACATGTCTTTTTGGGGGTTTGCGAAGATGCCCCTAGTCGTTGCGGATTCACATCAAGTCTGGGAGCGTTGGAAAGCAGAAAAGGCGAGCGCGTTACAATGGTTCAGAAGCATGCGGAAAACCAATTATCGTTGCATCTGGGGACCTGGGAACCCTCGTGGGGCTGCTTTTGTGGCTCTCTTAAGGCGTCTTGGAGCGTCTTGAGGTCGTCTTGGGCGTTCTGGTCGGTCCTGGGGTGACTCTTGGACAATCTTGTGGTTCTCTCGGGGCACTCTTGGCCTGTTTCGTTGCCCTCTTGCCTTCAGGAACTGTCACTCGACAACACGCGGCAAGACCCAGGAAGGCCCAAGAGCGCCCCGTACTCGGTTGGTGTCTTGGTGCAGGCTATAAGCGGCAGCTGAATAGTCATTGGAGGCAAGGGCGAGGACATGGGCAATTTCCTTCTGCCGAGCGAGCAGACCCAAGCCGGCCCAGCCTAATGACATAGTGTTCGATGGGTTCGGCAACGGACGTGGCAGGGCGTCGCGCGTGGGAGGTGGTGCGCCATCGCTTCCAAACCTGCCACCAAATTCACGACATCACAGCCGTACTCGCATTACGTCGGGCCCGTCCCCCTACAGGAGGAGTATTCAAGAACAGTCCAAACATGGTCTGGGGACGATTTGTATGTCTTGGTGTAGGCATTGGTAGAATACTGTTTGGCTGTTCTAGTTCTTGTCGTCCAGCCTCCGCCTGCGGGGGGACGTGCCCGACCTCGCGCTCGCACGCGGCGCAGTGGCGTGCGAGGCTCCGCGGGTCCAGGAGCGACTGCACGCGCGCCGCCGGCGTCGGCGGCGAGGTGGCGGCCACCGCGTCGAGGGCTGCGCCGGGCTCGGCGGAGTGTGCCGTCGAGCTCTCTCTTGCGTCGAAGTAGTGGTTGACGCTGCTGGCGCTCCAAGATGCTCTGGATCGGGGGCCCCATGCGGACCCTACCCCTGCCCCCCACGATTTCTGAGGGGGAGGGTGGGGTGCACTTCGCTCGGAAGTTCCCGAGCGAAGTGAACCCCACCCTCCCCCTCAGAAATCGTGGGAGGTAGGGGTAGGGTTCGCATGTGGCCCCGTCAAGCTCTTTCTTTCTGGGCGCCCGACATGGGCACGGAAAAACTGGGTAGAACGCCCAACAGCAGTTCCTGTCCATTTTGAACAGGATTCGCTGTCCACGCCGCCGCGGCCTGTATTCATTCGAGACAGAAGGCCGCCTGCCCAACAGCGGCCGCTGATGGTTTGGGACAACATTTGTTGTTGGGTATTGTATCCATTTTTCCGTACCCATTTCGGGCATTTCTTGCACCGAAATAATGCCTGACGCTGCTGGCGCTCCAGCATGCGCTGGATGCGAAATGCTGACACTGGTGGTCTCTTTTTTGGCGGCAGCGCCTTTGGATGGTCCGCTAGGTGCCCTGGGTGCGCCATCGACATCTGGCAAGGGGCTGGCAGAACAACGGCTCGCCAGTGAAAACATGCGTTTCGCATCATGTAAGATGGCGCTGGCGTCGCCAACAATTGACCCACGGAACAAACTGAGCGAACTATTTGAAAGTAGGAGTACCTGAGGATGACAATTTGGTCACCAGCAGCGCGCCCACGCTCGTCAGTTTGGAACCCTCGTTCAGCAAGATCTGGCAGCAGCTGCACCAACGCCGAAGCGAAGGTTGCCCGAGCTCGGCGCTGTGACCGGCCGTGGCGTGCAGCAGCGGAACTGAAAGGATGCGGCCGCCGACGGTTGGAACAATGTCAGCCCCGGAATCAGAGACGGAGGACCACCCCCCTCCGCTCTCAGCTAAGGTCGGAAAAACCACCCCGACCCCCATATTGGCGTTTGCTGATCAGCCGTGGGCGATCACCAGACAGGCTTGCCCCCCTGTCAATCCTCTGCTTGGGTGAATTTGCAAAGATCTTACCTTGTTGGGATGCGTAACTATTCTGGCAGTGCGTTGTGCTGTCCTCCACTTGGGGGGGGGCAGCGCTCCCGGCGGCGAGCGAGTCGATCGCTTCGCGCATTCCGATGGCCCATGTTGCATGATCGCTGGAGTTTTGCCACGGGCTCGGGGCCAATGCGGGGCCGCAATTGAGGAGAACGAGGCGAATGAGAATGGGGAAGGGGAAGGGAGAGGGAGGATAGGATGAGAAGGACAGCAGGAGGATAATGATGTAGGAAAGTAGGGGGAGGAGGAGGAAGCCTCTCGACGGCATCGTGCGGCGCTCTTTGGACCAAACAGGGTCGTCGTCAAGATGTTTCTGTGGGGGTCCTCTTGGGGTTTTGACCCAAGAGGCTTGTTTGGCTTCTGACTCTGGCGTTGCGGAGGCCTCTGACGGGGCCCTGCAGCATGGGTGGAATGCGGTTGTTGGGTCACGCCCGTGGTCACCAGCTTCGACAACGCACCCTCCTTCAGTGGCTTCAGTGACATATGCACGTCGGCAGGAGGCGCACCTCACCTCGGCAAGCTTCGTAGCCGCTCACCTCGGTTGCTTCGCCCTCGAGGATCCCGTCGGGCCCCGTGGAGGAGCCTGAGTTCGACATCGTTTCTTGGAAGGCGTTGTGGAGTTCCCCGAGACCTCTGGCATCCGCTGCACACCCTTTGCGTCCACGTGGTCCACGAGCTCCCCCAGATTATGTTTACAGTCTAGAAGTCAGATCCAAGCTCATCAAACCCGCGGATGTGCATGTCATCATAATGGCGGGATTCAATCTCGCACAAGACCAGGGCGAGTAGTCAAGGCATGGCGACCATTAACACGGTCAGCCATTCGACCCGACCAGCCAGATCATTTGCACCACCAGCAACACCGTCATAGGCATGTTCATTGTAGGGCAGCGGTTGGTCAAGGCAGTGCGAGCCATCGGCATATACTTTTGGTCGGGATGCCAAGCCGCCTGTTCCAGTTACCCTGGACGCCCCGCAGCCGGCGGGAGAGGCCAGGATTCTGCGTTCCGCTGCCATCCCTGCGCCGCCCACATCCCTTGACCCACGTGAGGAAGACAGTGCGCTTGCCCAAGCAAGCGATGTTTTCCCGGCGTCGGGTGTCGGACGAACATGGAACATTGACGAACCAACAACACACACCCATACCCATAGGGGGATCGGAGAGGGCTATGGGCGCGTGTTGTCGGATGGGGGTCCCCGCTCGAACGGGCGCGTTCCCCAGGGTCCGACGACCCTCACCCATACCAATAGCCAGTCCTCCTCCCAACGACCCCCTTATGGGTATGGGTGCGTGTTGTCCGTTCGTCAAACACGGCAGTTCACGGCGGGAGGGTGCTGCTTCCGCTCGCTTTTGTGGCGGGCCGGCGCCGCCGAGCCGAGGGCCCGCGCGGCGCGCGGGCATCGAGGTGACGTCGCCTGGCCCGCGAGGTCGGGCGCCCGGGGCGGAGCTCGTCCCTGTCGGCAGACCCGAGAGCGTGCACAAACGGTGCGGATTGTTGTACACAGGCTCTTCTCGGGGGCGGAAAAGAGGGGGGTGATGATTTGGGGGGTGTGGATATCATGGCGTGGGCCATGATATTTCCCCAGATTTCATGGCGCCTCTTCTTATTTCATTACGTCCCTGGCCCCCCCGCTGGGCCGCGCACATGCCGCCGGTCATGATTTGCACCCCCCCCTCTTGGACACCCCCCCTCTTGGCCGCTCCCGACCTTCCCGGACAACCCCACGAGCACATTCGCTGAGACGTTCCCTCGAGGAGGTGGAACTGGAGGACGGCGAGCACGTCACCGCGCGCACAGCAGACCTTGATGGCGTTACTGTCATGTGCTCGAGCACCACGGCGCTTCGCGGCTCCTGGATGAGATCCAGGATTATGGATTGGCCCACTGCAGGTGGTTGTGCGCCAGCCCTTTGCGCGCAAGTGAGATTCCTGGCATTGCCGACCAGATGCCAGTCTTTGAAGCCCAGGCAAGCTTGCTCGCCATGGCTATCATATCCCACGTTCCCTCAGTCAATCCGTGCCTCCTGAAAGGACCGGGTGCACACAGCGCTTGACGAGGGCGCGAAGGCTGCTCGCTAGTTTGTCGAGGGGCGAACCAGAGGAGCCCGACTCAGCACTCGTAGACTGGAGGCTCACTGCGTCGGGGCAGATCACTTTGGACACCTACACGTTGTTCATTTTTGATTATTCGAAATTTCTCTGATTTTTGAAGGGCCAAGATCCTTTCATGTCTAATTGTTTTATCCTGGGCCTCTTCCTGGCCACTAGGGGGCCAGAAACAATTTGAAACGAGCACGATTAGAAATGAACGAAAAAAACACAGACACAATGAATCGACGGTCCCCAGGCAAATATAGGAAAATATGAGAAGTGTGGGGAAGGACAAAAACCCAGAACATCTGGGAAAATATGGGGAATCCTGTTATTCGTGCTTATTTACTTGTGTGTCCCAAGGCCCCTTCAGTGTACACGGCGAAGTCCGGGGGCCATCCGGAGCCCGGTTTCGGCGCCTTTGCACAAGGGGCAGCATGGGAACGCGAGCCCGTCGGGTGCCTCAACGCGTGGCACCCACCGGGGACCCCCAGGACGCACGCGCAGGCCTCCGCCGTTTATCAGGAGGGGAAAAAACACACAGACACAATGAATCGTCGATCCCGAGGAAAATATGGGAAAATATGGGAAGTGGGGGGGAA